CTTATGTTATGGCCTGAGAAATTAGCATAAAACCAAACCAAAGTGAACAGTTAAATAATATTGTTCACATACCACACATAAACATGTGTGTGTGTGTGTTTGTGTGTGTGCAGTTAAGTGCTGGCTAATGAAAGCTTCTCTGCGGCACCCGTCTCCGTCTTCTCCCGCCCCGTTGTAGTTTTTATTTTTCTCGCCTCTCTCCCCACCCCCTCCCACTAAACAACTCATATTGTGACAACGAAATTCATGCTGAAATATTTTTGTGGTTCGAAACTCGTTTTTCCACTCTACCCCGCCCCACCCCACAACACCCCACAACACCCCACCCCATCGGTTTTTATTTCTTTTTTAAGCGCGAATTTATTACAGCGCTTGATCGGGCGGCCAGCGTCGTCGCCGTGCCATAAATATTTTGTTTACAATATAATTTAATTTATGCAGATTTCTGGTCCCCGCTGCAGCACACACACTCGAGTGGTGTACCAAACCCCCCAACCATTCATTCCATACGGGCATATCATATCACTCTTCCCCCTCTCGCACGTAACATTCGATGTGGGCCGCAAAAAGTCAGTTTTGAGTTGCCTGCTAAAAGGCCAACAAGTCGTTAGTTGCTCGTTAGTTGCCTGGCTTGACTGCCTTTGCTCGATTTGGCCAGCATCAGCAAAAGTGCCAATGAGGAAGCCCTATTACTTGGTAACGTCTGCCACGCCCACACACACACACACACACACACACAAGCACACCCATTTGCTGGGCTCGGCCAAGCCTTGTCTTTTGCCTTTGCCTCTGCCTTTGCTGGGGCTTTTCATTGATTTTCGCTGTCTGCTCGTTCGATTTGTTTGGGCCCGGAGCGACTGCAGCTTGGTAGTGTCGCTGAGGTCAAGCGCTAATGGAAAACCCATAAAAATTTGCATACGATTTTCTTATTGAGTTAATTAAAGACCCATAAAACGGCAGCCGTTTATTTACCGAATTAAATTGCCAGGGCATCAGTCAGTCAGACAGGCGGGGGGCAGGGCGGCGTCAGCACACTTGACACCTGTCAAACGGAAAGGGCTTCTGATTGAGTTAAGTGAGGAAACCCCCAGACAGTTGGGAGTGGGGGATTGGATGATCATAAGTGGAAATGTCAATAAAAGAACTAAAGTTAAGTCTTGGAACTGATAGAGAATCTCTTTAATTAAGAAACCAAATGCAATTTAAATCGTGTTTGCCTGCCAGTTAAACGAACATCTTGTCAGGATTCTCCAGATAATGCTTCGTGATTCATAATTTATTTGTCGAATCATGAGGCTTGTTTATTTTTAATGGAACTTCTGTGTGCTGCCAGCCATACCAATTGTAGACTGGCGAAATGTATCCATGGGACAATAATAACAATAACAAATCAGCTATTAAGTTACTGGCTATTTACACCTTGGGTTCGTTCGGGCTTGCGCTCCTCTTCCCCCGTTTATTTATCCAACAAAGTTCAATCGTAATAAACAAAAGACGGGGGCGATATGCAACTGTGCCATTTACTCAACAGAACAACAAAATATCACTGACAAAATAAACACAACAAAATTTGTTGATTTGAAATTATGAAACCATTTTGCTTGCTGTTGACATCCCCAACCCCAACCCATGCCCATTAAGAGCCCCTCCAGCCACATCACCATCTCTGAACGTCGTCAAAGTCATGTATTGTTGTAGCTTTTATTATTATTATTATTTCTTTTTTTTGTGTGATTGTCTCCGTCGATCGTGAGATTGGTTTTGTATGTCAAATGTGGAGCTTTGGACCCGTGCACCCGTCTCCAGCGAGGAGAGAGACACATGGCACATGTCTCCGACTGCATTTTGTATATCAGCTTGACTCTATTTATTTATTTATTTAATTATTATTTCGTTGATGTAGTTTTGCCTCCCACTGCCCTTTTCTTTTGCAGTTGCCTTTGTCTTTAATGTTTTGTCTTTGTTTTGCTTCGAGTTTTGAGTTTCAAGTGAATAATTGGATGAAATGAACATTGTTCGGATCAAGGGATTCCAGGATTCCGCTCAGTCAGCAGTCAGTTTGTTTATTGTCTCCGTTAAAATTGTCACAGCTAAATTCTCAGTTCAAAATTCCAAAATTCAGTATTCAGCTTTTTTTCTGTTGTAAATTGTTTGAAGCTCTCGCAACACCACAATGTGTATGCCATTCCTTAACAAAATGCTGCGACGCAACAAGCGCAACAGGAACAGAGATCCCACACCCGCACCCAGTGCGGTGGACTTGACGCAGCTTGCTACAGAAGAGCAGAAACCCGAGGAGACAGTGGCAGAGCAGACGGTGGAAGTTCCAGTTCCAACACCAACAGCAGCTCCAGCGCCAGCTCCAGCTCCAGCTCCAGCTCCAGAGACAATAGCAGTGGCTCGCGCACAAGTGACGCCCGCCGCTATGGCCATGGCAATGGCTGCCAACTTTGCGGCCAGCGGACGACCATCCAGGACCTTGTCAACGATCACGAGCGTTGATAGCATGATAGCCAACAATTTAGGGACCACAATGCAGGTGCAGGAAGCACACAATGTCTCTAATGACAATGATGCCTCCAATGATGGCGGGCTGCCCCCAGCAGCTAGCAGCGCTTCCTCTTCGGGGCGCAAGAAGACCTGGCTGGAGTTTTTTGGCATGAGCAAGAAGAAATCCAGCATTGATTCGCTCTAAGCGGACACAGGATCAGGAGCAACAGACAAACAATTACGTTCAAAACTTTTGGCTTGTAAAGGAAATATTAAAATAAACAAAACGCTATTCCACCATCCAAACTTGCGCTCTTTGACACCTGCGATAATGTATTGGTATAACCTAATCAACACAAAACACAATAAATAATTATTTATAATCAGTTATCGGCAATAACTCAACGGCGTCCCTGACCAAGTGCACGTTCACTTCACAGCATTTTCGTGTAAATCTATTAGATCTAGGCACGTCGAAAGATGTAAGATTTTAGCAGAATCTTTTAGCACATGAATTATAATTTATTCCACAATTTGTGTATTTAAAAGCAGAATATTTTAAAGTTCTTTGCTTTCTAGTAGAACGATCCATTCCATTCCCAAAGACGTCATCGATCGCAATCGAATGAAATCAATTTTGCTATCGCGTGAATAATTGTATGTTTGTTCAACAAATCCATCCAAATATAACAAAAGATTTACGTGAATGAGTAGCAGCTAAGGGGTTTTGATTAATGATTGCGATTCCTTAACACTTGAAAGGAAATGTCAGATACTATGCGTGGAGTACTCTATGATGATGAATTCCCTACCATGGGATCTTTAGTCAGTGCTCCGCATCTTGAACGTGAGATTGTTTGGATAGATCATAAACAAATTCGATTGTTAAACGCAGCTGCGTACAATGTTATTTCCAATGACTACGTCAACACTCGCTTCCAGATAAAAAAGCGAAACGAATAAACGAAAAAAGTCTAATAAACAGAAAAAACAGAAGCCCGTGTCCAGATATTATTCTCAGAAAAAACTTAACTCTCCTCTGACACGCATATTAGCTGCAATCTGCTAAATTATTTATCGTATTTTCGGACATCTAGTAGTACGATAAGGTACACAATAATCGTTACCCAATCAACGAATGACACTGCAAAAGTGCTTGAATATTTAGATAACAATTAATGACAATTAATCACTAAATATAGTGTAATTGTGTACTAGTTCTATAATCAACACGAGTACATTATCTATGAATAAATGCATTGCATTTGTCATTTATATTATTTGGCAGCCGAATAAACCGATTCATTGTAATGGATAATGGCTGACACTTTTTGATAACTGTTTCAAATCATCTCACAGATTACCTCGATGCTTTATCCATTGATATTTTTGAGTCATGCAGCAGCTCCTCTCGGTTGTTTTTAAGGGAGTTACCTCTGAGTTGGTGTTTCTTGTTAGTGGTTCAGTTTTCAGAGTTTCACTATTGAACGGTTCCAGTTTCCACAGATCTTCCATTGTTCCTTGTTCATTGTCTCCCTAGCCAAATTTGCTTCTATATGCCATAACAGACCCATTGGCGATCGTTTTATCAGACGTTTAATGAACTTTTGCTGCAAGCTTTCGCCTTTAATCAGATATCGACCATTGAACTGCAACGCAGAAACGCACTGTATATATAGCTGCTCGTTTTTCTTTTGAATGGCTGAACGCATTCCATGCCCATGATTAATAAACAATATGCTAAAGCCCTCGAACATGTGTACATAAATATATTTTCATTTGAAGTGGCAACCGCAAAAGGTTCGCTCTACCCAGAGATATGTACGTACAATATGTATGTATATGTAAATATATTTAAACAATCAATCCATGAAGATTAGCAATTATCGTTGGAATGCGAAAATGCTGTTGCCTGATATTGAAATTGAGTTTCGCAAACAAAAACCGAAGACGAACGTAGGAGCCAAGAGACACAGAGGGATCTGTGGTGGGGCACTGTGGCTGGTCGCAAAACGTCAAAGACATTGTCATCGTCATCAGTGTTGTTTTTCTATTCCTTTTTTTGTGGTTTTCAGGCCAGTTTTTGTTTTGTTACCTCTGCCGCACTATGCGAATGTGGCCTCGATAAGATTAGAGGCATTCGTTTGGCAACAACAAAAGCAAAACTTGGCGCAGACATTCCACATGGCATGGGTCTGCGGTAGAGCTTGGAATTGTTATGGCCAGGAGACGTCTCTCTCTCTCTCCCTCTCTCTTCGAAAGGAAATGCCGGTAATCTTATCGAATACAGCGAATACTTTGGGGGGCTGGCTAACTGGCGTGGGAACACAACAGTGGAACTCCCATAACCCCCAGTTAAACAGGTTCTTCTGCCACGTTCAGAGAGGGAAAGATACATCTTAGATAGGGGCGGAAATTCATTAGCGATTTGTTTTGTCAATATGTAAACACACAGCGATAAGATCCAAAGACTAACGGCCCATGGTCTCCCATTTGTTGTATCTTTATAGCTACACAAAACCGCAAACATTTGAGGACTGTGTGGGCGATGAGCTGCCCATGGGCTGGGAGGAGTCCTACGATCCCAATATCGGGCCCTACTACATCAACCATTTGGCGCAGAGCACACAGCTGGAGGATCCGCGGCAGGAGTGGAAGAGCGTGCAGGAGCAGATGCTGAGCGATTATCTGTCAGCGGCTCAGGATCAGCTGGAGAACAAGCGGGAAATGTTGGACGTGAAGCAGCAGCGTCTGCTGTGGGCCCAGGAGGAGTACAATCATTTGAACAAACTGGCCGCCAGTCGCAGTAGCCGTGAGTATTCCATTAAAGCAGAGATTGGAGCTTGCAGCTGACACAATCCCTTTCCCTTTTCCAGTGTGTTCGTCATCCAGCTCGATGAGCCGACACGATCCGGAGCTGCTGCGCGCGGACTTGATGCTGGCGCGGGAGCGAGTGCATCAGCTGAAGCAGGAGCTGAATCACATTACCAACGATATATCCTACACGGAGCGGGGCATGAACACGCTGTATTCGGTGGGCGAGAAGATCAATGCACGGCAGAACGGCTGCTATGACATTGCCGAGGTGCAGGCCATACGCGAGGAGATGCTGAAGGTGCACAAGTCGCTGGTGTCCGGCGAGAAGGTGCGCGAGGAGCTCATGCGCAGCCTGGTGCAGATCAAGAACGAGCTGAGTCGCCAGCAGATCAACGAGGAGAATGCCGAGCTCATGAACGCCGCCTCGCCCTTCGATCGTGTGTGCGTGGCCAGCCAGACGGATCTGTGCGGCGGCGCTGGGGAGCATCTGAATGGCGGTGCCCGCTTTGCGGAGATGGCCAAGACCAAGCTGCAGTACGCGGAGTGGCGCAAGCACATCAAGAAGCTGCAGCAGCAGCTGGCCGATCATGTGGAGCGCATCGAGCCCGGCCAACTGGAGTCGGACAAGGATCGTATTCTGCTCATCCAGGAGAAGGAGAAGCTGCTGAACGACCTCAACAGCATCTCCCTGAAGTCGCGCAGCGAGGAGGAAAAACAGGTGATCCAGGCGACCCGCAATAAGCTCGAGGATGACCTCCGGGAGGCGTACGAGGCGAACAACACGTGCGTGGCCAATCGGCTGCGCTTCCACGAGGAGAAGCAGCTGCTGCTGGACAAGCTGCAGGAGGCCCTGAAGTCCACCAAGCTGCTGGAGGAGCGACTCAAGTCGTTCTCCTCCGAGAGCACCTTCTCCATCAGCAGCGGCAGCAGCCTGGGCTCCCTGTCCACGGCCAGCAGCAAGAGCGCCCTCAGCTTCACGGACATCTACATCGATCCCTTTGCCGTCGACTCGCCCATCGATGTCGTGGATCTGCGCCGGCGCTCGCAGCGTCTCTTCCAGCAGCATCAGCAGCGCCTGGCCCCCATCCATGCCCATCCCGTGCTGCAGCAGCAGCAGTCCTCGGAGGTATCGCTGTCGCCGCGCAGCAGCCTGTCCATGGAGACGCCGCCCGCATCGCCAATGAAATACAATGCGGGGGCCGATCAGCTGCCGCTGCCGTTGCAGCCGCCGCCAGCCCATTCCCTCAAGGAGGAGCCCACCTATGCCAATGCTCTGCCCGCCCCGCCTGCCTACACAGCCCCGCCCCCAGTGCCTATCGGTGCACCTGGGGTCAGGGCACGTCCCTACGACCTGGACTCCACTGTGCTGGACTGCATGATGCTGGAGGCGAAGCTGCAGAAGCTCAATCTAAACTCACCGCACAATCTGGCCGCTGCGCCGCTCTCACCCATCTCGGAGAAGCCCTCGCTGCTGGATCTGCCCATGGAGATGCTCAGCCGCTCCTCCTCCACCTCGAACACGCGCTCCGTTTCGGCGGCTGTCAGCAACGAGTCTGTGGCCGGGGACTCGGGTGTCTTTGAGGCTTCGCGGGCTCATTTGCCGCGCAAAGAGTTGGCCCAAGTGCAGATTGGACTCAAGTATCTGAAGCAGGAGGGTGTCCTGGTGGTATCCCTGGAGCGTGCCAACAATCTGCTGGCACTGTGGACAGCCTCAACGGATAACTCGCAGGTGTAAGTACAAGAAAAAAGCAACCCAAGAGGCTTTAGCTCATAATTTGTCCCCTCTCTGCAGTTACCTGCGTGCCGCTTTGCTGCCCAATTCGTTGACTTCCATAAGGACCAAGGCGCTGGGGGACTTTCAGAAGCCCGTCTTCAATGATACATTTGCAGTGCCCATATCGCTGGATAAGCTGCTGACCAAGAGCCTGCAGGTGACTGTTGTCTCAATGACAGGCCAAAAGGAGGAGATTATTGTAAGCAAAAACCAGCCACAAAACGAATGAGAACGAATTTATAAACCCTTCACTTTTCTCTTACTTTAAGGGAACTGTGCAGATCAGCATGGCCGAGTTTAATCCGGAGGACTCCACATTGAAGTGGTACAATGTTCTCAGTTCGAAATTCATTCCCAGCTTTGAGTCGCTGGACATTCCCTCCACGAGTGCCGCTGCAGCAGCAGCCGCCGTTGCGGCCAGCAACTCCTCGACGAGCAGCAGCACCAACAACAACAGGGAGGAATCTTCGGATGAGTCCACCATCACATCCTCGCAGACCTCAACGCTGACACGCAATCAGGCGCCGCCGCTGGAGCTGCAGGCGCAAATAGCCGAGGAACAGCCACAGAATGGTCGTCTCAATGGCCAGGAATGCAGTGACGACGATGACGATGATGAGGATGATGACGATGAGGAGGAGGAGGACAGCAACAAGCAGCTCGTCAGTGATGTGGGCCTAATGAACTGTAAGTATTTGCTTTTTGTTACCCAAACATTCTCTCAACTAACGCATGGAATCGGTTGCCTGCCATCAACAGCTGGCTGCATGCTGGATGCCTATCTGCAGAACATGAAGCAGGAGTATGCCGACAAGGAAACGAATACCGAGTGCGCCTTTATGCCGGAGAAGCTGCGCTCCCACACTCAACTGATGGACGATAGGCCCGTGAAGCGTTCACAGACCTTTACCCCATCGGCGGCGGTCAGCAAGAATCGCTACAATTGTCGCCTTAATCGCAGCGACTCGGACTCGGCCATGCACTGTGGCGTGGCACCGCACACGTTCCAGCGGGGAGCCGCTGAGCGACGTTCCCTGCGCTTCCACACAAAGACGCCCAAGTCAGTCACAAGTAAGGAACAAACACACACAAAAAGCAAAGTTGAAAGCTTACTAAACATTGATTTAACTCTAGAACTGCATCATACTCACATACCCCGCACCAGTTTGGACTTGGAGCTGGATCTGCAGGCGCAGCACAGCAAGCTCTACTTCCTCAACGATCAAATTGCCAAGCTGCAGAACCTCAAAGAAGTGTAAGTGTAACCGAAACACAACCCCAAGAAGTAAAACATAAACGAATTTATGTGTTTTACAGCTTGCAAAAGGCCTGCGAGAACAAGGATCCTCTTATTGCCGCCTGGGCCATTGAGAATGAGGAGTTCCAACGTCTGGTGGCACGCGCCGATCCCGCCAAATGCCCCGAGGAGCGTCAGCTGCAGAAGTTGCTCATGAAAACCGCCAAAGAAATCCACAAGCTGCGGAAGACCAAGGTGCCCAAGGGCTGTCCAGATTTGGTGTCATTCAAGTAGGTTTTCCACTACACAAACTTTCCTTTTATTCTGTGTATTTATTTGTTTATATTTTTTGCAGAGAGAAGATCTCATTCTTCACACGCAAGGGCCTGTCCGTGCCCGAGCTGCCCAGCGAGTTTACTTTGCCCGAAGACAATCCCATCGAGGAGGAGGAAGAGGAGGAGGAAGAAGACGATGATGAGGATGAGGACAATGCTGCTGAGACGGCAATTGCTATCAATACGGCGCTGGTGGCCAGCAACAATCGTAACAAGAATCTCAGTGAGCACCACCATCGAGCCGCAAGCGGAGCAGTGCCAAAACTGCCAGCACCAGCACCAGCCACAGTCCCAGCCCCAGCCACAGCCACAGCCACAGCTGATGCAGCTGTTGCTGCAGCTATTCCTGCTGTGCCAGCTGTAGCTGCTGAGGACGGTGCAGACAAGCCAGATCAGCCACGCTACGACTATGTCGTGGATCGCAATTATGGCGTGGAGGTGTAGCTGTAGACCTGCCCTAGCCCCTACTCTACCTTCGCTGTACATTTTTGTAATTAATGTAGTATTTATTTTCATTAAGCAACAAGTATTTATGTGTATAAAACAAACTGATGTAACAAATATCTGTGCCTTATAGAGAAACGTGTGAGCGCAGGTCCAGGCCTGCAGCGACCACCAGCAACAAGAGAACCATGCTAGAAATGATATTTCTATTTATATTCTAAGCCGTACTTTTATTTAGTTTAAACATTTAGCCCTAACTAGACACATAGTCAGTTGTACAAATTGACACCCCCACCCCACCACACTGATGACCATACAAGAGAGCAACCACACACCCTACACCCCATCAAAAGAGGGACCCAAACATAAGCAAAAACGCGCACATTGTGTGTTCGATACCTTTCAAATTCATATTGAAAATCAACTGTATTCTTAAGACTTGAGCAACAACAAAATATAAGAATGTTAATGAATACTTTTTTATAGGCATTTAGTTAGTAACCCCAACCCGAACCCAAACACAGACCATAAAACGGAAACATATTTATTTTTTATTATTGTATTGGTTGATATTAATCAAGTGCGAGTGCACACAGCCCAATCGTTTAGTTTAGTTGGCTTGCGTTTTTGTTAAGCTCAAAACAAAATTCTTTACATTGTAATTTTTTTTATAAAAAAATCCTATGCGCAAAAAACCATAAAAAAACAACCAGGCACACACACACAAAAAAGATAAAGAAGTGAATGTACCATATTAGATAATCGTCACTATAACTAGCACTGTAAGCACGCCTTAAACCCCCCCCGACCAGACCACCAATGAATAGCAAACAAAAAAAGAATATAAGAAAAAAACACTGGAATTAATAATTGTTATGCTCCTCCAATTGGAGAGGAGAAACTGTTAAACGAAATGTTTGTATGAAAGGGAAGCGAAATTAAAATGTGGATAGCCGGACGGCTTCCCACAGCTCTATTTAAGTTTAGGTTTCGTACTATGTATGCGCGTATTTAAGGCTCTGCGCCAGATTTGCTGTTGTTGATGTTAACCCAGCCTAATCGTCAAGCCCCCCCCACAAAATTAAGTGCATCATAAGATTTACCTGAAGAATAGCCTCCCCCACACACACACACACATATTTTTGTATACTGTAGTATCTTTAGTTGTAATAAATTATATGAAAGTGAACATGTATATTGTAATTGTGCAATAAACAAACAAAAAAATACTGACATAACCTAAACGATTGTAAATGTGTTTTACTTTGCTTTAGTTTGATGCCCTAAAGAATTTAAAAATTATATGTTTGAAGAAATGCATTCAAAAAACGTTTATTCTGCTTGCTTGATTGCTTGATTATTTATTAAACTTTATTACATCTCAAATCATTTGTTTATCCAACAGAGTACTCACTGGGGCACAGCAGAGGCAGCAGCAGTGCCAGAGTTCGAGGCTGTGCGCCATCAGCAGAGGCGCCCACTAAGGTCACAACGTCAGGTGTAGCTGTTGGAATGTATTAGTAAATAATCAATATTCTGATTATTATTTTCGACTTACTCTCAGTGGGATCTTCTGGAGCTCCTGGAGCGGGCTGGGCATACACCGCCACAAAGAGAGCCAGGCAAAGCAGGACCAGACGCAGAGAAGACATGTTGGATTGTTGTAAGTAAAGTTCTGAGCTTTCATGCTAGGCTTATATAGCAAAACGCTGTCGCATGAGCTATGCTATGCAAATGGCATAACAAATTATCTCAGTCATTAGTGAAGTATCTTCCCCAGGCTTCCATCATTATGTCTTATCTTAGAATTGACAGTAAGGCCATGTTCTCATTCTGTTGTTTCAGCGAATATTAACATAGATGTTTATTCAGAAATGTTATTTGGTCTCTTGTGATATTTGTCTTTACTGTATCAGGCGCTTATTTGAATTGACAAAAATGATACGATGATTAAGCCGAAAAACATCGTTGTTATTATCGACATTATTCTTCTGCTCTAGTGGAGGGCAGGGTGACCATTTACGGTGTATGATATACTTTAGGGGATATTTTAAAAGTATCTGGTAAAATGGTACTAAATATATTAATTATTGGAAACAGGATACAAAACTACCCATACTGTACAATACTATGGGTTGGCCAGCAGCTCCCACTTTCCCTTATTTTGCAATCAATCCATTAAAGATAAGTCATGATAATCCGCCAGTCTTGTGGTAATATTAAACTAAAGATGAAATGTCTAGGAAAATTATTTAAGATTTACGGTACATTTACAGTATGAAAATTAAAGGGTATGTTTCGGTATGTTTCCGAGGATCTGTCGGTATATTGGATAGATAAATCCGCGGTCACACTGGTGGAGGTGCACGTTTTCAAATAGAATTGTAAATAATATTCAATTATAAGTAAAAATGGACGAAACCGATGTAGTGGAGGTGGACGACATGCAGTGCGATGTGTGCGCAGAGCGGAAATTCCAGGAGCGCGAGGGCTACTACTATTGCATCGAGTGCGGCACCAAAAAGGAACAACTGAGAGCAGTGGAGATAAACGCCGAAGACACTTTCAACGATACAAAAAATCACACTACGGTGCGGACCATCAAGCAGCCACAGATCAAAACGGAGGACAATGAAATAACCTCATGGGAGTTCTACAACTATGTGCTGCGTGGCTTAACGCAGGAGTTGCTCGACTTAGGGGCCAAGCCGGAACTGAAGCTGATGACACTGCAGGTGTGGGCCGCCTACCTTGGACGCATGGAGGTGGCCTTTTATAAGAGCAATGTAATGGGTTTGCCCAAGCTCAATGTGCGCTCTCTGCCCAGGTAGGTCCAGTGGCGCAGTTAAAGTTGTTCCATTCAAATGAGTCTCTATTTTGCAGAGATGCGCGCATCATTTACAATCACCAGCAGGCCAAGCGAAAGAGGGAGCGGCTGGATAAAAGTAATCTGGATGATGAGCGCTCCAAGTGGCGACAGTGGAGGAAAACCAAGGTGATATTATCTTAGCAACGTGCCTAAGGCCATGTTCTAATATTTTTCCTACAGCGCAAACTAGACGCCACCGTTTGTAGCAAGAAGGATGCGGCTACAGAGTCCACAGCGGGGCATAGCATTCGCTTGCAGTGGTCCTATAGAGCACGCAAGACCCTAAAGCGGCATATGGCACTCAAGCATTTGGACAAGCACAGCATGGACAGCACGGGCAGCATGCGGTGCCATGGTCTGCGCCCAAAGGCCAAGAATCTGGGCCACTGCGATCGGAATATCTTCCTCCTGAACATCAACAAGCTCTATGTGGTACTGGCCATTGCGCTGAACATGATCGGAGACGACTTACAGCTGACGGACCTGCTGCGGCTGATTGACGAGGAGCATCTGACCAGCCGCTACCTCCTTAAATATGTGCCAGAGGATGTGGCTGTGCGCAGCAAGACGCTGATAAAGGAGCTGCAATTAGGGCACCAAGTGGACAAGTGTAGCTACGAGGTGAGACTCGGCTCGGGCTTGACTTACAGGAATTACTAACTATCCTTTGTCCTTGCAGTTCCTGCGCACACAAGTGGGTTACATGTCGCGCTTTATAGATCTCACTGAATTCCAGACGCCGGACCTGACCGCCCTGACACAACGCTACGTCAGAGAACTGAGCCTGCCGCCCGCAGTGGCTGAGTATGTGTGCCGCCTGATGGATTTCCATCTGCCCGAGTTCAGGCGCCTGTGGGATACGTGGACTTACCCTCGCTATGAGGCCCGTGTCATGGCCTACATCGTGTACGTCATGAAGCTGTTGTTTGGCCTGGACGATGTCAAGGAGCAGAAGATATCCGAGACTGCGGCGGAAGTGAATGAGCTTCTGCAGAAGCTACAGCAGGAACACACTGACGGCGAGGAAGCGCCTGCCAACCTGTTTGTCTTCGGGGAGTGGATGCATTTTGTGGAGCTGCGCAAGGTTTTGGTTTCGCACTACAATCAGAGCTTTGCCCAGCGTTTCGGAGTGGTCAACCATCTTGAGCGGCAGCTCAATGATATCCTCATCAAGGAGCGGAAGCAGGAAGAACACGATAAAAGCTTCAACGAGCTGGAGATGACGCCGGCCATGCGACAGAGCGAGAACATGCGCCACACCTTCGAGTGTCTGCTCAAGGAGAAGTATGGCGAGGGCAGCGCTGAGATGACTGCAAAGGACCACATCGAGTTCCAGGCCAGCATGACGCCAGCCCTCAGCTACTTCAAACGGCTGCTCATGCACGCTTCGCGGGCCGAGGGCGAGGACATGAGCGTCAAGATTCCCGAGTATATGTGGGTGGAGCACTCTGAGCGTCAGCTGGATCCCTTTATGGCAAAGACCAAGGATCTTGCCGATTACCTAGCAAAACATCAAGTCAAGTTGTGCGTGCAGGAACTCTCCTGCCAGGAGGACTACCAGAGGGTGGGTATCTTCCAGTTTTTCCCAAAACTGGACCAGAAGTCGTCGGAATTCCGCGCCAACTGTGACATCACGGGCGACGAGTGGATCCAGGAGCTGCGAAAGAAGATAAAGCGTCCGATCTTCAAGTTCCGCCAGCCCGTGGCCACCTATTGCCCACGGTACAAGGTGTATGAGCGTGCGGCTCGCCGCCAGAAAATGGAGGAAGATAATCCGTTTTGGAAAATTTACAAGACACCCAAAGTCCGCGTGAAGCTGAACGACGAGGAGATCTCCTTGGACGAGCTTAGTTCTCTGCAAACTTTTGACGAGGCGCACATGGAACCGCTGCCGTTTCCGTTGAACATGCCCCGCCGACGCTTGAACTCTCGCAGCTCTCTGACGGATTATGAGCTGATCGAGCCCAAGGAAGAAGTCGTTGAAGAGGGAGAGGTTCAAAAGATGACGCAGATGCTGAACGTGTCAAACTTCGATATCTGGCTGCTGCACGGCCACATGCACAAATTACCGCAGGCGCATCAGCGTGAGCTGCGAACCCTGTTCCCCTGCTCCTTCCGCTGGTTGCTCGAGACCTGCGCCGCAACCATTGGCGTCTGCTGGTCTGTGCTCTACGAGCAGCTGCTCGTCCTGGAGGTAGTACTTCACCATGGCATCGAGGACTGGAGCAACCACAAGGACAACTTGCGATTCAAGTACAATAATCCAAACAAGGACATCAATATGATGACTAAATTATATAGAGACATGTGGTAGAATGAGGGAAGCATTTAAATGAATAGCCAAAAGAATAAAAAAATACCGCTTTAGTCCTAATTTTTCTTCAACATAATTTATTCAATTTATAATTTATTGTTCTTCAACATATGCGGTTGACAAGCAACAAGTGTTTAAATAACGTAACATTTCATTCCCACTTACGTTTTATGCTTCTATTTTTTGTTAACCTCTTTTTGGTACGCTAAAAATGAACTAATCTTATGCGGATTGAATGATGAATCAAATAAAATAAGAAGTTTAGCGCGGAAAGTCCACTCCAACTAGTAATATTAAACAGAATACCAAAATTCGGGAATACATTCCCGAGCATGGGCAGGGACTGATTAACCCATTGTTTGACAAAACTAAAGTGAAGAAACTTGATATATGTTAGGGGAGTGAAAGATAACTAACGTGGAAGGATAGAATAAATGGAAATAATTATTTTCGGTGGCTTAATTCCAATCGTTCGCCATTTTAAAAATAGGGGGCAAAAGGGGCTAAGCTCGTTTTCACCTCGGTATATTTACGGTAGCTTTTCGAATAGAATTTTGGTATATTTCGGTAAAAACCTGATGGGCAGAAAAATCCGCTGCCCCACTGGTGTCATCGCTAACAAATGTTTTTTAATTACAAAAAAAAATAAATAAATGAAGTGAAGCGGACGCACCAACAAAAACAAAGAGATTGCGACGAACAAAATGCTAAGGGTAAACGAACTGAGCAATCAATAATCGATGGCCGAAAAGTACTCACTGAACGGCTTCCCCATGTATTTTTTCTCAGGCAAGCGGCAAAAAGGACAGGGACATCTTCGACGAGGTTTGGCCCGACAAAAGGAAGATTGTGCTGAAGCTGTTGCGGCAGGACACGGTGTCGCAGCGCGAATGGCAGGACCTCTTCTTTGGCGTGCACTTTGTGTGCCTGTGGGACGAGAAGGGAGCGGCCAAGATATACGACTGCCTGCAGCAGGACATTGTCGAGTTCATTGTGCACGCCCAGAGCCAGGTGCAGGCGCAGCGGGGCGAACAGGCCCTGCTGGCCACCTACATTGTGGAGTGGCGGAAGTTCTTTACACAGTCCAACTATCTGCCCCTGCCCTTCCGCCAGCTGGAGCAGTCGCCGCAGGTGAAGCCCGTCTCAAGCTCGTCCGCCTCGGGCGCCAGCACCAGTGCGTCCACCTCGAATGCGGCCTCCTGCAGCAATCAGGCGGCCACAAGAAGTTCCTCCGTGAATCCGGCCGCATCCACCTCTGCAGCAGGCACATCGGGAGCCTCTACATCAGCAGCCTCTGCCACAGCGTCCACCTCCGCCACCGCCTCGACAAGTGCCGCCGCCGCTGCCGCCGCAAGCAATACGGCCAGCTCCAGCTCCAAGAAGAATCCCACGGAAGACAGTCCCGTGCGCAAGCTGATGCTCGACTCGTGGAACAAGCACATCTTCCACGACATCAAGCACCGCCTGCAGGACTCGGCCATGAAGATCGTGCACGCCGAGCGAAATGGCGACGCCTACGATGCCCAGCTGGTGGTGGGCGTGCGCGAAAGCTACGTGAATCTCTCGTCCAACGCCGAGGACAAGCTGGAGATCTACCGCGAGAACTTCGAGATGGCCTATCTGAAGGCAACCGCCGAATTCTATCGTCTGAAGTCCACGGAACAGCAGCAGCAAAACGGCGTGCTGGCCTACATGAAGTACGCGGACGCCAAGCTGCGGGAGGAGGAGGTGCGCGCAAAGCGCTATCTGGAGCCCAGCAGCTTCAGCATACTCACCTACACCCTGGTGAAGGTGCTCATTGTGGATCACCTCAATTCGATCATTGCCGAGTGCCCGGCCCTCATTAGGGACTACGAGACGGAGCGTCTCAATCTGATGTTCCGCCTGATGGATCGCGTGCTGCACGGCGTCGGTGTGGAGGCCATGATGGGTGACCTCCAGCGGCACATTATGTCCGCCGGTCTGGCCGACATGCTCTCCGCCTCGGATATCATTACCCAGGACTCGGAGAAGTATGTGGAACGGCTGCTGGAGCTCTTCAATAAGTTCAGCGATCTGGTGCGGAATGCCTTCAACGATGATCCACGATTCCTCACCGCCCGCGACATTGCCTTCAAGACGGTAGTCAATGACACCAGTGTGTTCAAAGTAAGTGGAAATACTGGCATCCACGTAGCCCTTTTTGTATAACTGTTTTATCTCATAGATGGAGCTGCCCACGAGCATTGCCAATCGAGGTGTGAAGTTCACGGCACCCGAGAGTAAATGCCCCGAGCTGTTGGCCAACTACTGCGACATGCTGCTGCGTCGCACGCCCTTGAGCAAACGCCTGACCAGCGAACAGATCGATGCCCGCCTGCGCGATGTCCTGCTCGTACTGAAATATGTCAATAACAAAGATGTCTTCATGCGCTACCACAAGGTTCACTTAACGAGACGGTAATTTGGGAGTTGTTGGGGTTCAGAGAACTCTTAACGCTATAAATATTTCCACCTTCCATTGATGCAGCTTGATTCTGGGCACCAGTGCAGACAGCGAAAAGGAGGAGGACATTGTCGAGTGGCTGAGAGAGGTGGGAATGCCAGCGGACTATGTGAATCGTCTGGCGCGCATGTTCCAGGACATTAAGGTTAGTCGCTCGTGGTGTCCCCTGTGCTCTCTTCCAACTGAAATTCGTTTACAGGTCAGCGAGGATCTAAATACTCAATTCCGCACTTCGATAAGTCGTCATGATGCTATCAATATCAAAATTCTCAACGCTGGGGCCTGGGCCCGCTGCTCGGAGCGTGTGTCCGTATCGCTGCCAATCGAATTGGAGGACTATATACCCGATGTGGAGGAGTTCTACAAGAAGAAGCATTCCGGCAGGAAGCTGCAGTGGTATCATCACATGAGCAACGGCACCATCACCTTTGTGAACAACTTTGGACGCTACGATCTGGATGTGACCACCTTCCAGATGGCCGTTCTGTTTGCCTGGAATCAGCGACAGCATGATAAAATCTCCTACGAGAATCTCCGACTGGCCACCGAGCTGCCAGGTAGGATTTGAGACTTATTTTACTTGTGCTACTGTCTTATTTGTTGCTCTATTTGCAGATCCCGAGCTGAGGCGCACGCTGTGGTCTTTGGTTGCCTTCCCGAAGATCAAAAAACAAATACTGCTGATGGAGCCGGCGGTCATTGGTTCGCCCAAGGATTTTACAGAGAACACTTTATTCTATATCAATCAGGAGTTTGCCATTGTCAAGAATGGCAAATCGCAGCGACGTGGCAAGGTAGGAAAAGGTCAATTCAATACCTATCAGCTGAGACTAACCCTCTGCCATCTTTGTTGACAGCTCAATCTGATTGGACGCTTGCAGCTCAGCACTGAGCGTTCGCAGCAGGAGGATAATCAGTCCATAGTGCAGCTACGCATACTGCGCACCCAAGAGGCCATCATTAAGATTATGAAAGTGCGAAAAAGGATGAACAATGCAGCACTGCAGGTGGGTGTTCGAGTGTGCGTTTAATTGAAGAAGATATTAATGTATTATCGCCTGATTTATAGGGTGAACTCATCGATATACTGAAGAATATGTTCCTGCCGTCCAAGAAGATGATCAAGGAGCAGCTGGAGTGGCTCATTGAGCACAAGTACATGCGCCGCGACGACGACGACATCAATATGTTCATCTATGTGGCCTAACTCTAGTCTCAAGCCCGGACCCCACCCTGCACCTACCACATTTAAGCAATCATTCCTCCTCAATTTCCGTTTCCATTCCTCACACACTCAAGCTCCACTTTTTTAAAATCTCAATTCTGTTGTGCTCTAAGCACGCTCTAAGGCCTCAAACGTCTCAATGCATCTGTTGGATGGGAACACTTGGATCCCTAATTGTATTATATGGAAATGTGTGTGCGTGCCCTCGCAGCATTTATACAAATTGTATTTAAATTTATATGGCTTCTTGTAACTGCTTGTATTCCCTGTCTACTTTAATTGTACTTTTATATATTTCGTTTCCAATGGCGGCTGCCCGGCAGCATAGATCTAGGTATTATGTCCAATCAATCCACACTCCCAACAGATCGATAATATCAATCGGTATATAGCGCTAATCTAATCATCTCGTCTCGCTGTATTCTTTATGTGTTCTGTTCCATTTGTTTTTTTTATTTGTTTGTTTGTTTGTTTGTTGTCTGCTCTTTGTAATGTTCCAAGTGAGAGAGAGCGCAGCGATTGAAGCAACTTCCTCTTCAATCAGTCCAGCATGAATGCCTAATCACACACTCACACAACAACACACACACACACACACACATAAAATGATCGCGAAAACTAAAACTAAATTAGCAATACTTTAAGCCTTAAGTTAATAAGTGAATAAACTTGGTTCTACACAGATAAATGAAAGCGAAATGAACGACTTTTTAATCACTGAGAAATATTTCAATGGGTTAGAGGATATATTTCGCTATAGGCCATATACATATTTATGTACATAAATTAGGAAATTAAATTAGGAAACAGCGAAGCCCCAAGGTACTTTTCTAAGTTCCCTAAAAATCCATTTATTTCCGGCTATATGTATTAGGCGCAGGTAAATCCCACAAAAAAAGGAGCAACAAGTTGGCTGTGCAACGAGGCAGCATAGCGGAAGATAAGGTCAGAGCCCTCCTAAAGAATAAACAAATGTAAATCACAGCAGCCAAAAGACAGCCGGTGCTGAGCGGGGAATTACTAGCTGATAAGACAGATGGAAGATCGATGTGATCCCCCCTCGTACGCAAGCTCGTTCGCTATAAAAGCGAAAGGTGAGCCACAATCAGGCATCAGTCAGCGTTCGTTCATTCCACAGCTAAGACAACACAAAGCAAAGCAAACCAAACACAACATGCAGAAGGGAAGCATTCTAATTGTGGCACTTGTTGCACTGGGAGCCATAGCCGAGGCAATGCCTCAGCGGCTCAGGCCTTTACCCCAGAGCCCACCTCCAAAACCGCTATTTCGCCATCGTTTCCGTCGTCAGGTGCTGGGCGGCTCAGTGGCTTCCAACCCGGCTGGTGGTGCCGATGCTCGTATGGATCTGACCAAGGGATTTGGTACTCCCGATCATAATGCTGTGATCCAGGGTTTTGCCGCTGGAAACACACAATCAGGTCCCGTCACCGTGGGTGGAACTGCGGCCTACAATAAGTAAGTGAATCACAAGAGGCAACCAGGAAACAGTCGTCTCACGAGTTTCCTTTCTTCCCCACAGCCATGGCCATGGTGCCTCTTTGACGAGGACTCACACACCCGGCGTAAAGGACTCCTTCCAGCAGGAGGTTCATGCCAATCTCTTCAACAACGGCGTACACAATCTCGATGCCAAGGCGTTCGCTTCGCAGAACAAGCTGGCCAATGGCTTTGAGTTCCAACGAAATGGCGCCGCCCTGGACTACTCGCACATCAATGGACATGGTGCCAGTGTGACGCACAGCAATTTCCCCGGCATTGGTCGTCAGTTGGGCGCCGAAGCTCGTGCCAATCTGTGGTCCTCGGCTGATCGCAACACGAAATTGGATCTGACGGGATCGGCCAACAAGTGGATGAGTGGTCCATTCTCCAACCAAAGGACAGACTTTGGCGCTGGTCTGGGTCTCAGCCATCGTTTCGGTGGTTAAAGATGGAATGTTAAATGATGAAATTTCTTTATAGTAATACTTTATAGAAAATGTTACCAATCCAACAATTAAAATTCAATTGGTTATAGCATAACGAATGCCCTTATTGTTTATTTAACCTAAAAGGTAAAAGGGGGCGGCATAAAAAGTGATTTGCTGTGACAAGGATCCTTATAAATAGGATTTCCAAATAAATACACAAACATCGAACACAAATCAAAGACAAAAGATCCCTAAAAATGGGACAAAAGGACACCACACAAATCGCACACAAGTGAACATCTTAAAATTGGACATGGACGTACATAAAGTAGACAAATTAAAAAGGTAAAAGTTATACACCCCCACCCTATGCTGGGTGGGGGAGACTCTCTACCATCTATGCTATAAACTTATGTTCCTATGGCTAAAATACTATTGAAGCGAGCATCTGTGATCTGTCTATCTGCGCTTGCGACCCTTCTTGTAGCCCTTGCCATACCAACCCGCCTGTGTGCGTGCCAGCTTGCGGGGGAAACTCGTGGTCAGCTGCTGGCGACGCTTGGCCGTCTCCGCTGCCGCAATGTGCGCCAGGGAGATATTCTCGTCGTACTCATCCTCATCGTCGCTGGTCGGACAGCACTCGCAGACTACAAAGCGGCCGCTGCGTGCGCGCTTCTTGTGCTTGCGCTGGTTGAGGTTCCACTGCCGATAGAACTGGCAGTCCAGCTCGGCATAACGATCGAAGCAGAAGCCGCAACTGGCGGCCGAGCGATTCATGGCGAAATTCGGCACCACCTGCGAGTTCCAAATGTTGAGATCCTCGGGCGGGGGGATGAGTATGCTGTGTAGACCGGAATACGCGTACTTGGCGTCGTACCAGCTGGGCAACTGCCGGAGGAGCTCCTCGTCGTTGTGCTGCCGCAGCATGTCCATCTGCGAGAGCTCGTTCTCTTCGTCCTCCTCGGTGGTGGAGTCCGCCGAGCAGGTGGCACCATCGCTTTGGATCTGTATATTGAGTGACTGGAACACTGGTGGCAGTATGTGCTTCGGTTCGATGAAGGGTGTGGACAGCGGCGCCCCAATGGGCACCAGCGGCGGCAGCTGCACGGGCTCCAGAAACAGTTCCACAGGCAGTTGGCAGAGACTCGGCAGACTCGTTCGCGGACTTTCATCCTGTTGGGTCTTCTGTATAGCGACTAGTTTTGGCAGTTCCATGCTCTCCACTTTCGGGTTGATGCCCGTCTTGATCCCCGTCTCCATATCAAATTCCACTTCCTCCTTGAGCGAGAGCGGCTCCAGTTTCGGCAGCAACTCCAGCAGCTGCATCTCCTGCTTCACGGTGGTGAGGAGCAGGGCGTCATCGTGGTTGGGGCTGATGTCCAGTGCCTCCTCCAGCTTCAGTTCAGTCTCCACTTTGATTGTTGTCGTCGTCGTCTGCTCCTTCTCTTCCACCAGCAGCAGCGCAGAGCCAGGCCCCGAGCCATTGTCCAGCTTGAGTTCTCCATTGGATGTTGGTTCTATCTTGACCTCCGCATCGTTGCCGTTTATTAGGTTCGAGCACACACTCCGCACGAACTTGTGACGCAGATCGAGGTTTGTCTTAATGCGTCTGCCGTTCTTAATGGGCGTGCGGATACGCGGCCCCTTGCCTATGGGCAGATCGCTGAAGCTGCAGCTTTCCGTCGAGATGGTCGAGTCCTGTGTCTCTTCCGTGGTGGTGGTGAAGGCCTCATCCTCGTCGGCATTCTTGAGCAGCGGCTGCGTGAGCGTGTGCAACTCCTCGGGCATTAGCAGTGTGGCGTGTGCGAAAATGGGATCCTTTTCCTTGGTGTACACAGGCACGGAGATGTTCAGCAGTTGCATCAGCTGCGCCATGACGCGATCGCACTTGCCGTTGATCTTGATGCTGGCAATGTTGTCTTTGGGCGTCCACTGCAGATTCACCACACAGATCTTGGCCCGTTGGCGCGCTGGCTTGTCCATCTGCCACAGCCACGTGTACTTCTTGAGCACCTTCAGACTAGAGCCCAGGCAGAGGATCACGTCCGCTCGCTCCGAGTGCTGCGTGGCCCCGGTCCAGTTGAGCGGCCACTTGAGGTTGCCGCGCTCTCCAAAGTGCACAATGGTGTCGTACAGTGGTTCCGAGCAGCGGTGGCACAGCCGGTGGGTCTTGTGGCAGTAGCGGGCCGTCATCTCCGTCGTGTCAAACTGTCGCCAGTAGACGGCATTCGGCTTGCAGTGCTTGCACACCTCCACGTACATGTTGCCATGGATCTCGGAGAGTGAGTGGCGCGGCAGGCCCGATCGCAGATGCAGACCGTCGCAGTTCTGCGAGACAACATGATGGAGCAGGCGGCGCCGGTGCAGCTCGTACAGGGCCATGTGGGTGTAGGTGGGATTCGCACTGGACAGATCATGCTCGCCGATGTCCTTGCCCTTCTGCAGCAGCGTCCAGATGCCCTTGCTGCCGCGATAGTCGGGAATGAGGGCCGCCGTGCTGATGCCAGCGCCTGTGTAGCAGATGAGATGCTTCGCCTGGGAGATGATGTTGGCCAGCTGCTCCACCTTGGCCTCGATCACGTGCGGCGCATCCTCTTTCTCGACAACGCGCTCTTTGTAGATCTCGATGCGTTCCTTTCGCTTCTTTGTGGTCTTCACCATGTCCGGGTGCTTCTCCAGAAACTGGCGATCGTCGACGGAGCGCAGGGAGTCGCATTTCCGTAATATAAGCGAAACCTAAAGGAAGCGCAATATAATCTTTGATTAGCATCAATGGGAAACACAGATACACACGCTCAGATACAAAATTGCAATCACTTGCATGTGCCTGTGTGCGTGTATGTGTGTGGGGGTTGCGCACACTAATTACCTTTCGCATAGCATCCTTTCGACGCCGCTTCTCGTTGTCCTTTTTTGCGGGATTCACTTTCGCGCGCGTTATATAAGATTGCGCCACATCCGCACTGGGCTCCGGCAGCCCCACGTCCTCCTCCATGACTAGCCAGCGGTCTCCGGGCCGTAGTTTCTGCAAATCCAAACTTAAAATGCTCCCCAGCCAGCGCACAGGGGTTGGGGGGGATTTTGGCAGCAAAAAGCGTGCCGATGCGAGCGGTGTGAAAGGTTAGGCAGCGCGCACTCTTACATGTTTTTTACCCTACACTCCTGCATTTGTCGGGACGTTTACAATTAATTGTTTTATGTTTTATTCATATAATATATTTTGTTTTTTGTTAGAAAAAAGGTAAACAACTATCGATGTTCCAGTGCGCGGCCATCGAGCATTTTGCGTGTATCGATGTTTCAGGGCTGCACGAAATCAATTCCGTGACTTGGCGATAGTTTGCACTCACTGCATGCAGTGACAACAGAAAAGCCGTTATGGCACGGTTTATAGACCAAAGCTAATTTAATCAAACTAATTGAATAAGAGGTAGATTTCGACAGCATACAGCATCAATAAATTCATTCAATACTTGGCTATCGTTTGTGTTATCCAATCCAGATAACGGTAGACGCGCGTGTAAATGCCGGGAATTCCTGGCGTGCCGCATGACACACCCGCCGAAGTTATGCCCATCACATGATACATGCAGGGATAATTCTGATGGTACATCAATATAGGACCCCCAGAATCACCGTTGCATGTGTCCTGTGCCCTATCAGAGCCCACGCACACTTGGGTGCTGGCATCGAAGCCATGAGGATATTCCTCAAGTTGTCGCGAGAGAACCTTCTGGCAAACCTGAAAGGGTACTTGTTATCGTATTGGTATCTTCAATGCTGTGATGGATAAGCGTCGTACCCAATCCTCGTAGCGATCCAGTTTCACTTTTAGCAGCTTCGCGGAGGGTTTCACAGCGAATCCTGTGCTGCCCCAGCCCACGGCTATGAAGGAACTGTAACGCTGATCGTCGAAGGGCAGGCAGGCGGGATGCTTGTACAGATCGTATATAACATCCTCTGCCAGCTTGACCAGTCCGATGTCATGGTAGAGCTGTGGATCCGCATAGTTCGGATGCGTCAGATAGCCCGCCACATTGTAGTCCCTGGGGGCAGCATCATCCTCAAACGTGTCAAAGTCCAACTCGCCCAGACGCACCACATTCACCTCACCTCTGCGGGAATAGTCGAAGATCATTTATTCAGCAGACTAAATCAGTTTGTCACTTACTGTTCCGATTCCAGGCAGTGGGCAGCGGTTAGCACGAAGCGTTCACTTATCAAAGTGCCGCCGCAGAACCAATCAATTCGCCTGCCCAGCTCCAGGCGACGTCCGAGTCGTGCCATATGTGGAAACTCCTTGGGATTGGCCGGATGCCCGCCCACAATCAGCGGCGTATAGCTGCGGCAATTGTCCACAGTTCGGCGCTGAATGGGCGCGCCGGGAAATAGAAAACTGTAGTCCAACTTCTCCTCGAACACGCTCTGTTTGAGACGCGTGCATGCTGTGAAGGATGAGGTGAGATCATCAGGAGAGTTTATATCCATCCACACTTACAGCGCACAATATCCGAATGCTGGCCCAAACCACATGGCAGTAGGAGGCTAAGCAGCAGCGACAACAGCACGAGAATCATCTTTGCTACAGATTTAATTGCGATTGCTGCTGGCTCAGCCGCTAATCAAGTGAGACGCTAAAACCTACCGCCCGCCCAGAACGGGTTTCGTATCGTTTTTGGGTTATTCATCGCCGAGCAGATTGATCGGCAGAGCAGCCCCAGCCACAGCCCCAGCCAAATCGCTAAAACAAACAGAAGTTCCCCTTGTTCCCGACTTCCAAGAAAAGTTACGATTTGCATCTCTCTTACAGAGTGATGTGCACAAATATGAACTATAATTAGCATTGGAAACGTGACTGTTATGACGTCTTGACCATCTCCGCTTTGATCCAGTCCAAGTATTGATGCACGCGTGTGTAGAGGCCTGGAAAGTCTGGAGTGTCGCAGAAATTGCCCGTGGAGGTGATGCCCATCACATGGTACATGCACGGAAAGTCCTTGTGGTATGTCAACACCGGGCCACCAGAGTCCCCGTTGCATGTGTCCTTGTGCTCATTGGAGCCGATGCATATTTGAGTGGTGCCATTGTAGCCATTGGGCAGCTCTTCGTTCGGCTCGGATGTGGTGCTGCAGCGAGTGCCATAGTTATTCAGGCGCACCTTTCGCAGCTTCTTGGAACTCTCGCTGACAACCTTCACCTGCCCCCAGCCGATGGCAATGAATGTCTGATCGCTGGAGCCGTCGTGGAAGGGCAGGCAGGCCGGATGCTTGTACTCGTTGAAGGTGACGGGTCGGCTCAGTCGCAGCAGTGCAATGTCATTGTAAATGATGGGATGAGCGTAGCCAGGATGCACCGTGGAGTTGGCCACACTAAAGTCCTCCGGATCAGCGTCATCCTTGTCGTTGTCGAACTCGAGTTCTCCCAACCGAACCACATTCACTGCGCCACTGCAACAGAGAGACAAGCAAGAGGGAGAGTTAAGCGAAGAGAATCTCCTCCCCGTTTGATACTCACTTCTCGCTGTAGAGGCAATGGGCAGCTGTGAGAACATGTAGATTGCTGATCAGTGTGCCGCCACAGAACCAATTGATTTCGTTATCTTCATCGCGATTACCCAGGCGAGCGGCGTGTGGAAACTCCTTGGGCACGGCGGGACCTCCACCTATAATCAGCGGCGTGTAGCTGGTGCATGTGTCTCTGGTCTTGTAGATGATCGGTGCATTCAGATAGAGCAGACTGAACTCTGATGTCTCCTCAAACACGCTCTTCTTGTAGGCAGCGCATGCTGTAGGACCGATTGGCCATTGAGTTCGTGTCTATAATCTCTGATTACTCACATCTGACTAGATCCTGATCTTGGGCTGTAGTCCAGCCTGTGGCTAGCACCAGCCAGGCAGCGCACAGCTGTAAAAACTTTATTGTAAACGCAGTTTGCATTTTCCTCAGTCACTCGTCTTGTGTTGTACACTCGCAACGCTCTGGCAGCTACTGAATGAACCCCAATCAATAGACGGACTCCGTGTGATCTTTGCGAGGTTATCGTCCAGCGAGAGATTGAGATTGCCATAACCAGATGATACAGGGGTAGAAATCATTGACTATATTGATTATAAATCATATAAGCAAATGAATATTATGTGTACGATCTTTGAGGCTACAACTTGGCCATCTTTAAGCCGGTTTGCACTTAGAAAAGTTAGCAAAACTCTTGGCAATCGAAGCCTAAACAAATCTCTCGTTGATTTTAAAAATAACTTATGAGTAATGGGATTCTGAATATCAATTACAAACCGGTTAAGTTTAACGTTCTTCCTGGTACTCAAACAAACACAAACACACAAAAAAGATAGAAATATAAGCGATGTATTTGCTGCCCTTACGGACTTGGCTTGTAAACGGAATAAATCTTCAATTGGACCTCGCCAAATGCTGCTTGATCCAATCCAAATAGTAGTGGACCCTTGTGTAGGCACTGGGCACATCGGGTGTATCGCAGGCAATGCCATGGGAGGTGATGCCCATCACGTGATACATGCAGGGATAGTCCTTGTGATAGGAGAGCACCGGACCACCCGAGTCCCCATTACATGTATCCTTGCTCTCGGGCGAGCCAATGCAGAGTTGTGTGCTCGCATTATAGCCATTGGGCAGCTCCTCGTTGGGCTCCACGCTGGTGAGGCAACGCTGTCCGTAGCCGCGAAGCTGGACTTTCAAGAGCTTCTTGGACTGCTTCTGGGCAAACTGCCGTGCACCCCAGCCAATGGCAATGAAGGTCTCGTGGCGTTCGCCATCGTCAAAGGGCAGGCAGGCGGGATGCTTATACAAACTAAAGTTGACCGCGCGACGCAGCCGAACGATGCCAATGTCATTGTAGAGCGCTGGATTATTGAAATCCGGATGCATTGTGGTGCTAAGCACTTCAAAGTCCTCCGGCTCCGCATCGTCCTTGTCGTTATCAAACTCCAGTTCACCCAAGCGTACCACATTCACAGCTCCACTGCAGCAAGAGAGAGGGAAAGATTTAATATTTAGTGTAAAAGATCGATAGTTTGGACCCACTATTCGGCGTAGAAGCAATGGGCTGCTGTGAGCACAAGCCGATTGCTTATCAAAGTGCCGCCACAGAACCAATTCGTTTTGTTTTCAGCATTGCGATTGCCAAGTCGTGCCGCATGCGGGAATTCCTTGGCCTCAGCCGGTGATCCGCCCACGATAAGAGGTCGCGAGCCATGGCAGGAGTCGACTGTCTCATAGGTAATGGGTGCATTGGCAAAGAAGAAGCTGATGGGCACACGTTCCTCGAACACTGTGCGCTTGAAGAGTGTGCAAGCTGCAAGAAGCAAGTGCTAGGCTAGCGATCATGTGTAAAATATCTGGAAGATCTTATTTACCTTGCTGCGCGGCTGGATCAGGGCTCTGGCTGAACACTAGAGTACCGATGCCGCTCAGCGAAAGCATCAACAGCACCGAAGTCAGTAAGCGCATCGACATGGTTATGAAACGTCGATGAACTGCATTGAAAGACGAACGCTTGACGACTAATTGAACTGCGCAGCGGAGAACTCCGCTCCGCTCAGCACGAGCCAAGTTCAATCTCTTACAAGCGCACAATCAGCTGCTGCCATAGATACCTGTTTACCGCCACACAGTTCGCTGGCTTAACATTTATATTAATGTTTGTTTTGTGCTAATTTACAAAGTTTAACAGTCTTAATATCTAAAGAGAGAGAGAAAACCCTTCTAATTAAAGTGTATTCCTTCCGAGTTAAAGGTCAGCAGGAGGCGCATAAAATCATCAATGTCCATGGATCTCGCACGTGATGTGGCCATATCCAGCTCCTCTAGAATTTTGATGACTTTCTCCTGCATGTTAAAACCCTCTTCAAGCGGCTAAAAGACACAAAATAATATAAAATGTGAATATTTCTTAAGATTTAAATGCTTTGACACCCACCTCGTTCCTCAGCGAGCGATATAATTTGTAGTTCTTCTCGAGCATTTCAATCACGGAGCTCACTTTGAAGGTGGCAGCGAGTGTTTTGTTTTTGCGCAAGAAGGCAATGCGTGTGAGGCCATCCCATTCGGTAAAGTTGACCGGTGGCGGGGGATTCTTCGGCTCCAGGCGCACCACACTCGACTCCACCTTTGGCGGCGGCCTAAAGTTATTCTTGCCCACCTTCATGAGCATGTCCACGCGGGCCAGCAGCTGTGTGTTAATGCTCAGACGGCAGTAGAGCTTGTCGCCCGGCTTGGCCACCAGACGCTGAGCGAACTCGCGCTGGAACATGAGGACGGCGCAGCGGAAGAGGGGCCGGTGCAGCAGAAGTTTGAATATCAGCGGCGAACTGATTTGGTACGGCACGTTGGCTATGCACAGGTCGAAGAAGGGCAGCTCTGCTTTCAGGAAATCACCAATGAGCACCTGCAGCTTGGGCTGCATCGGTGTGGCCTGCACACGCTTCTGTAACTCGGCGGCCAGGCGGGTGTCGATTTCACAGGCAATCACCTTCTTGGCCTTCTCCAGCATGCGAACAGTCATGTTGCCCGTACCAGGACCGATTTCCAGCACCACATCTGTGGGTCGCAGGGCAGCCTTCTCCAGCATGGTGGTTATCACCAGGGGATTCTTTAAAATATGCTGGCCAAAATCCTTGTTGAATGCAATTCCTGCCATGAAACACGGTTAGAACTGAATTTCTTTGATTTTTTCACTGCTTCAACTTACCCTGCTTTTGCACCTCATTGTGAACGCGGCTCTTCTTCTCCGTTTTTACTTTTGGCATGGTTTAAACGTGTGTTTTTGCCTATAAAATGCGTAAATCGTAAAAAATCGTGTTTTGTTTTGAACATGTGCAGTTTAGGACAGTGTGACCGCAGAATTCTCAATAAAATATACCGGAATAAAATATACTAAATCCCTTCCCATTATTCAAATATACGATCTTTACCAATGTGGCAATGCTGTTCTAGCTCAAGTGTTCATTCAAAATAATTCGATAGGGCGGTTACATTTTTCATAGGTGTTACCTCTTTATTTATTAATTAGTTTTCACTTAAAATTATAAATCAATTTTTGTTGTTTTCAATTTTGGTATCTTTGGTTATCTTCGCACAGGTCTGTGCACATCGGTACATTTGTTTATTACCATTTATTTAGTATCTGCTTTAACATTTTCACATTCTTCCTATCTTGGCTTTCTTTTCTTTTCTCCTTTGTTTGTGTTTTGTTGGATTTTTAATATATCATTTTTTGTTTTTTCTTTTTTTACAACATATCAACTGTTGACTCTTGACTTTATCTTTACAGTTATTTATCTCTTTTGTTTAAACATAACTTAACTTTATTTATGCTTTCCGCCAATTATAGTTTGGTTACTTATTCGGCCTTTGCTTTAGTTGTTGTGTGTGTGTGTTCTGAATACTTTCTGTTAATGAATATTACTTTTGCACTGACTCTTCCTCTAACTACTCCTCTCCTGCTGCATCTCTTTCAGTTTGTTTGCGCTTTGCTTTGTACGCCACTCAATAAATAATTCAATATATTTGATTCTTAGTAGGTTTTTGTAGTTAACAACTTTTAGACAATGATTAGGGAGGCCTGGGCTGCCGTTTGTATGTGTGTTTTGTTTTTTCGTTAAGTATCTAAGTCTAAGATGCGAAAGGTACATGAAAAAGTTGCACATATGTATCGGTTCTGTGTTTTTGTTCTTTGCTCTGGATCTGATCTGTGAGAGTAGTACGAGCAGTACATTCAGAGTTATATAGTAGTAGTATGTAGTAGTACTGGCTGGATTGCTCTCCGGGAGCCCTTCTTTGGCAAGCAATGACGTTTGACCCTATAGCTTTTGTGTGTGTCTAGCAGATTCAGAGTGGGAAAGAAGGGAGCATTTGCTTTGCATATTTGAAGAGTGAGCTTATAGCTAACATTTGGTTTCACATTTCCCTATAATATTTTACTTGTTTCAGGTTCCGCGATTTGTGCTTTTCTTTTCATTCTCCCATATCCCATATACCATTTCCCTTGACTGTTCCTGTTCCCTTCCATTCTTTGTATTTTGTGTGTGCATCCATCAATATTTTCTATTCTGTTTGCCTGTTCTCTGACCTAACCTGACCTCAAGTGACCAATGGACTATACTCATATAAATAAATCATGTTGGCTGGATGCGTATATCTGGTGAGAGTTGTTGCTCTATTTGTTGTATATTTTTGTATCATTTTGTTTTAATTGAATAGGTCTACTATTTGTCTATATTTTTCAATCTTTCAATCTTCTTCAATGGCCTGAATCGTCTAGCGATCGTTGAGCTCATTGATTTATAAAATTATTCTTTTATCTTTTGTAACATTTTTTTGTCCTATGTCTTCTCCTTAAACTTTTCTTAATTTTTGTTTGCGTATTTTTGTTTATTTTTTATTCTTTTTTTTTTTTTGTTTTTTGGTAAAATGCGTTCTTGAGAATACTTTAGGTTAACATTTAAATTGTAAATGGGTAACTAGCGCTTGCGCAGACTTGCTATTTCACAAATACATATTATTATTATTTATTATTATTATTATTATTATTAGACACTGGGGGGCGTTTATTATTACATACAATTTTTGTTGTGTTTATGCTTGCCTCTGACTCTGCATTTTTTTTGGTTTTGTTCCTGCATTTTTGTTTGTATTTTATTTTAGTTAACAATGCTGCTTATAGTTAATAAATCTCCTGTCCTTGAAGGGTTCTTGGCTAGCCATACATCCTTCCACTATAATTATAAGTATATATTTTGTAATGATTTCTTGAAGCAGAATTCCTTTTTGCTCTGTGAATAGATTTAAAAACATAAAACGGAAACAAATATTTGCCGCATGAAATGTGTCGTATATTAAATAATAGGACTAACAACATTTAAATAAACAAATAAACAGATTTCGATGCGTCCTACTACAAATTTTGTTTCGAATAGAATTTAGCTTTGAGTCTTTGGCTTTAAAATCAACATATAATAATCGTTAATATTTTATCTCTCATCTCATCCTATCTCTTCCTTCTTCCATATAATTTCATTGTTATTTAACTTTTGTTCGGCCTTCTTTCTTTACGCTAAGTGTTTTTGTTTGTTATATAAATATGCCTTTAGTTTCACAATTTTCATATACTTTATGTATGTATATGGTATTTTGTATATATAATTTTTTTGCTCTGTTCTCCCCTCTTTCACTTCGGCTTACGGACTAAACACGTTTCTTTTCTGGTTTGTATTCCATAATTTGTTTGTTTGTTTTTTAGTTTTTAGGTTTTAGTTTTTAGCATACATAAATTGATGTGAATTTTATAGACATTTGTTTGTTTTTAGCTCTTTATTTTCTATGATTAGTTAGCTTTACTTTCTCTTTGTTTTGTATTGTTGGTAAATTGTATGCGTTTTGTTTTTAGGATTTTTTGGCTTAATTTTTGTTTTAGTTTTGTTTGTTTGTTTTTGTTTTATAAATATTTGTATGTATAACAATAAGGTTAAATTTTAAAATAATATCGCTTTAATACTTGAGAAGGAAGTTGTGCAAGATTTCATTCAAATACATATAAAAACAAATTGAAATTAAATTTGTGTTTATGTTTTTTTTTGGGGGGGGGGGGGGGTATTTTGGGTATTTGTTGTATAGATGGCATGTGGCATTATGTTTTATTTTTTTTTTTTCAGAGGTTCCCTTGAGATTCGCTTGGAGCAAGACCTAAGCTTGGACGCTGTCTGACCGTCTTTATGCCTGCCTTTAAGTGCGAAACTTGAGATTCGGCACGTTAAATAATCAATCAATAAATAACTAATAACAAAATTGCACTTTTTGAGCCACAATTGCAGCCCACATTGGGCATTGACTAGATGGGTTCGGGTGCGGGGCGAGGCGGTGGATTGGCATGGCAAAACAACATAACTTCAATAAAATACAAATACAATAAATAACTTAAAATTCTCTAAGCGGCGGAGGCAGGCTCCATCCAAGTGTAGCTGCAGCTTGAAGCTTAAAGCGGAAGCGGAAACGGAAGAGGAATCTGCGGTTAAACTTAACAATTTCTTGGTTCTCACTGCCATCATTAAAATTCAAGTTGAGCAGCAGCTAAAGCAGCTAAGCTTTGGCACTGGTTCTTGGTTGTGTTGATGGCTATGGCTGGGTGACTGGGTACTTGCATTGTTTCACTTCTCTGATTCGAACCTAGGATTTAGAACGAACTAAGGACAACCAACGACTACAACTGGAAAACAGACAACAATGAAGCGAAACAATACGAAGTTTGCTTGTGCTAGGGATATACGCTAGAGGAATACGCTAGACGCTAGATGCTACATGGTAGATGACACAGATGACAGTTGCTTGACTGATGCTAGATGACGGCACAGATCGATCTGCATGTCCACCCAATTGAAAACACTAACTCACTGACTGATCTATGTGGCCCGGGCCAGGTCCCTAGGGTGTGTCAGGTTATTGTTATTTCGGCGGATCAGATCGTATGCGATGCCTCCAAAAGTGAAGGGGAAAATGAACAACAATCGTTGGGCCCTAGTAGACTTTGCGCTCTGGTCCGAACTTTGGATTGACAAAGGAGAAGCCAGCGAACTCATCCTGATTGATGCAGCGTATGACATCGTTTCCGATCGGTGTCAGCACCGGATCCTCCTTGGTGAATTCCGCATCGAAATTGTTGGCATCGCGTGGATTTTTCTGCGTAGAAGCAAAAGTTGTAATCAAACTGCATGACTGGAGTATGAATCTCTCAATGCTTACCATTTTTGGTCGGAATGGTGGCTTTATGTTGCGCTTCTCCAGTTCCTTCCAATCAAGCTTATTGAAAAATGGATGCTTGCGTATCTCATTCTCATCGCCAGTGCAGCCCAGACGCTGCTCCGGATTCTTGGTGAGAAAACCTGCTCGGAAAGAGTCGCCCACATTAGCAGGAAGTTAAAACAAACCGTTTGAAACTTACCCTTTAATATGGAAACGGCTTCGCGGGACAGCCAAACGGGATAGAGGACATCGTCGTGCATGATCGAGTCGAAGAGCTCGTCCTCATTGTCCGCCTCGAACGGCGGCTGGCCGGCCATCATCTCGTACATAAGCACGCCGAGCGCCCACCAGTCGACAGAGGCGCCATACTCCTGCTCCTTGAGTATCTCCGGGGCAATGTAGTCGGGTGTGCCACAGAATGTTGTGGTCAGCATGCCGTTCATGATGCCCTCCTTGCACATGCCAAAGTCGGCCAGCTTGCAGTGCCCCTCCTGATCGAGCAGAATGTTGTCCAGCTTCAGATCGCGATAGATGACACCGTGTGTGTGAAGGAATTGCAGCGCCAATGTCACCTCCGCCGCATAGAAGGCGGCACGGGCTGCCTCGAAGCGACGCGCCTTCTGTATCTGGAACATCAAGTCGCCGCCATTCACATACTCCATCACGAAGAACAGGCGGTCCGGTGTCTGAAAACAGGAATGTAACGCAGTCAGGAAGGGATGGTTGGCGGCCAACGCCAGGATGCGCTTCTCCGTCATGGTGCAGTCCACATCGTCGTCCTGGATTATGGCATCCTTCTTCAGCACCTTGATGGCATAGATCTCGTCGGTGCCCTTCTTCTCGGCGAGCATCACCTTGCCGAACGAGCCCTTGCCCAGCACCTTGATAAAGTTAAAGTCCAGCAGCGAGCACTTGCCGGGGCGTGTATCCCCGGTGGCTCCGCCCACGGCCAGGCTCATGCAGCTGCTGCTGTTGTACCCGCTGGTCAGCGTGGTCGTGGAAGTGGCCAGGCTGTCGGCCGACATTGTGCCACTGCGGAACGATGCACCGGGCACATTGTCCCCGTCTCCACCCAGCGAGGCGCCATAGTTGTCCTCGCCACCCTGCTGATTCAAGTACTTGGAGCGGCGCGGCTGCTGGCCCTGCTTGTCAGGCGAGATGCCGAGCGAACTAAGGATCTCGGCCATCTGCTTGGTGTTGATGCCGCACGTGTTGGCCACGTTCTTCTGGCAGCGCTTGTGCACATTCATGCAACAGGTCTCGCACTGCAGTCCCTGCTTGATGAGTCCGTACAGCAGCGAGCCGCAGTGGTCGCAGAAGGTGAACCGCTTGTAGCTGTGCACCACAAACCGGTGGGGCACATTGACATTGAATCTCTGGCCGGCAGGCACCACCTCCACTTTGGTCTGCTGCTAGACAAGAGTAATTGGAGTTGGAATAGAAAGGGTTACCTTTGATCTGAGCACACATATGTTAAGAGTATCGAGTTGCTTACCTCTTCTCGCATGCCCGGACACTTGGACACCACGGACAGATGACATTTTTTATGTACAACTAAGGTGCAGACTGCAAATGATGAGCGGAGAGAGAAAGAGAGACCAAAAACAACGATATATCATTAATATCTTCACTCGAAACAGGGCATAGCATGACTGAGTGCATGGCAGATTGCAGCTTATGGAGCAAACTCTAGACTCTAGGACATACGATTTAATGTTTTGTTGTGTATTTACAGGATATCATATCGTTTACTCAAGCTCATTGAAACATTCAGGGTTAGACACGATAACTCTCATTGATGGCATTCTTTGAGTTCTTCGCCGAATATCACCATTGAGAGGGCATAAAATACGAATAATTAGTTGAAATCTTTGATATTTCTTTGGTGCACAATTGGATTATTCACATGTTGTGTGTGTGTGTTGCTCAGGTGAAGTTTTAGTTGAGTTTTCAGTGCTCTGTGCCTGTGCCGCCAATTAGTGTTCGTTGAGGTGTACACAAAAGTTTTTTATTCACAACATTCAGATGCATCGGGCAGAATACAATTTTCTAAGACTTTTATGTTGATAGCAATAAATGAAAAGTGTAACACAAGAGATTACGAGCTACTTCGGTGGGTCCGAAGCTTTGAATATCTTTAGAAAATTTCCAACAAAAGTTAACTGGAATAACAAGTTTAACCAACTGAAATTTGAAGTCAAGATAGATAATTTTCTACTTATTTAAGGCATGCAATCAGAAAAAGTATATAGCTTGGGATTATAACAAATACATAGACAAACTTGGATATTTTGAAGCTAATAAAATATTACTTTTCTTCTATGGAAAATCTAATTAATCCCCCGGAATAACATAAATGTAGTACAGGGTATTCATGGGTTTCTTAAAACTTCCTTATGGTTTACAATTACAACGGACGATTTCCCCGACAGACACACAGATTAGTATAGCACGACGTTCAGTTTATTCTCTCTTGACTAAATGAAGGACAATGCATGTGATGGCAACCCAATCGATTAGTAGTAGTGGTGCAGAGTGGACAGCAACAGTGCCAGGATACCAAACTGTCCAAAGAGAGAGAGTGAGAGTGAGAGTGGACAGCAGGTGAGCCGATGGTGCATCAATGGCAGAGTCCATTCTAGACAATGCTAAACACACTTGGCAAGGGAGTGCAGGGCACATCTCGACATCCACATCCAATCAATAAAAGCATTTATTACCTTTTGTTTCACAAGGCAAACAAAATTAAACAATATTGGTACATAAGGTAATAATGCAGCTAGACGAACAATATCCAGATGCTATTGTTCTTTCAATCGAATAGTAGCAACAGCATCAACAACAACGACAAAACGACAACAACATGGACAACGACAACAGCATACAACGAATAAAATGAGTAACGAACAACGAATAACGAACGTAACAAGCAAATGCAAAAGTGATATGGATAATGGGGGGGAACGGAGCTGGCTCTCCACTCCTAGAGAGCTCCAAAGCACCAGGGCACCCAGGAGGACCCGTCGACTCTGGTTCCGTTTAGTTTCGAAGCAAAACACATACCTTGACATTGATAGCCTTGTTTACCAATTCCCCTGCAAAAAGGCAAGAAATTCCATGGCTATTGTATGTATATATATTTTTTTTGGTAACTGAATGAAGTTTTTGTTTGTGTGGTTTGTGTGGTGTGTTCTGATGTGATGTGGTGTGGAGTGTGTGATTGAATGAATGAAGAAACCGCCAGTGGAAACCCAAAAGAAAATCAAGCATGAGCTGTTGATTCATGAATTGTTCCTGACCCCACAAAAAGCAGCTTTTAAAGTGACACCCAAGCCACTTGAATAGAAACCAGTGTTAATAATATCAATGGAAACAATAAATAGCTAATAGAAAATCAAAAATTAAAGTCTGCATTACCCGAGTGATGAGGGGATGATACATTAAGAACATAGAAATAAGAAAGATCAACTCAAATCGATTCAAATCAAATCATAAATAGTTTCAAAGAGATGATAAGAGAGAGAGAGAGAGAGAGAGTGGAGGTGTGTGGATAAATCAAAACAAATCCCGAAACTAAATGCATGTTTATGTAAATATTAATCACTGCAAATACAACTTAGGAATAATGGTACGGTAGATGTTCAGCCCGGTGCGGCCGAGTACGGTGAGTACGTTTACGAATATTGTACGATTTATGTATGCCGGCGGCCAAGGCCGGAGCGGAGCGCTTCACTTACCAGATAAACTCCCGACAATGCGAACAAAAGGTGGGTTGACGCAAAAATGTTGCCATGAACTTGTGACCATTCACCTGGAATTGCAAGAGATGTGCAGAGGGTCAGTTAGCCGTGGCATTACTGAGTATGTTGAGGGTTGCACTCACCTGGTGCACACGTCGTCGCATGGCTCCACGACGGCGATTGAAGCCAGCGCGCTCTTTGAACTCCTTATTGACGGCCACAGCGCGTTCCACCTCGGCCTCAGCTTTGGCTTGATCTAAACAAACAAAACAAAAAGGATAAAGGCTTGGACTCATGACATGCTGGACATTTGAGCACCCACCATTGCATTTCTTCAGCTCAATGATGATATGGATCTTCCCCTGTGGCTCCAGGTTGACCTGCAAACAGGGATATATGTTAGAAAGAGGCATTTAAAAAGGATTCTTTGTAGACTTACCCATAGATCTGGAGCTCCTGTCTCGCTCTGCATAAGATCTTCGAACGATATAATACAATTGGCCACAAAATCATCCGGCGGCAGGGCCGCATCGTGAAAGACGGTCAAGTTGATGTTTTTGGCATTGTTAACATCGTGCACGAACTGCTCATTCCAGACAGGATCGAATGTCTTTGAGCGTGTGGTAGATCGATCTAGGAATGTAGAGACGATAAGTAAGGTATCCCCAAGCGTATGGGTTGTGGTTTTAACTCACCAAAGTGACTCTCGTCGACATCTATCGAAACGTAGGGATCAATGAGCTGCTCATCGGCTAGTTTGCCGAATGTTAGGTTGTGGCGCTTCTGGAAATCTGTCGGACGCAGGCCGCTCGCCTCGCACACCTTGATCTGCAGCTTGCCCGTAAACATTGTCATGGCCCCCCGTTTGCCCTTGCTGTGACTTGACCGTCCTGCAGATACAACTCCTCTCCCCTGTTGTGGCTAACTGGCTGTTCGGGTCTCTGGAGAGGGGGTTTATATCTCTTTATTGCAACGATCCCCGGTAGCAGCTGGCGGACTGCGTCTCGTGAGTCAGCAGCTGCGGTGGTTTGGTTTGCTTCGGTTCAGAGAACAGCAGGAACCACTCTGTGGTCGTGTGTGGTGGTGGTGGTGGTGGGTGGTGTGTGTCTGTGGGTCTCTGTGGCTGATCTGAAATGGCAAGATCAGATAAGAATTTATTAATGAAATGACCAATGACCGAGTGATGACGTTCAGAACTTTCTCTATGGGGCAATGAATGTTAGTGTAGGTCATTGACACTCATAAATATAATGCTATTCACGATACACCCGATTCACTCCCCAAGGTCGCCCTCACATTGATGGAATCCACTCATACATACACACACAACTAACTGTAAATACATACATATATGTATTATGTAGATATATGCATTCGTTTGGGGGCATTAGGCAATCGCTCAAACGACAACAGTCCCATGAAACGGAAAATCGAAAATAGTACGCGACCATCATCTGTTGTGGTTATATTCTCCCCCCACACTCCCCCACATCACATATAAATCATTATCATTCCCAGGAGTAAGCGGATGCACAACTTTTTCAATCTTCGCAATTTCGTTTCCCTTCGATCGTACAATAACGGTAAAGCGCTGAGAGAGTCTCTTTAATTGAGAGGAAATCCACAACAAAAAGGAAACGTTTCATAATAAGTACTCACAAAACGATTTAATTCAAAAGAATGTTTGGTGGGGAGGGGGAACAAGTTGTTTTTCTCAAGGTGCCTTCAATTTAGCTTTGATTAGGTCTTACATCTTTTGATGGCAATTTGTTGCCTTTTTTTATGCAAATTGTTTTTAATGCATGCACAGAATCAGTATGGGCACACACACCACACATAGGAGAGGAGAAGCTATTTTTTCAGAGATAAAACAACAAAGAAATAATAACAAGCAATCCTAATGCCTACCCCTACCCCTATTTCCCACCCACCCACAACCTACTACAAGGCAGCAAGCAGCAGCAGCAGCATCACACCAACACACAAAAATTCCAGCACCAACAATACGCATGCACACACACACACACACTCAAGATTGGAGAAACACCAGCGATTTACAGGTCCGGATTCCGCATTGAATTAGAATTAATATTAAATCCGGATTAACATTAGAAAACTCAATTGGAAAATTTGTAATATTCTAATTGGGAAAAATGAAGGCGAAATCTGAGTATGCGCGTTGGTGTGGGTGAGAGAAAATAGAAGAGAGCGCAGCGCGTTTACATTACGTTACATTACACCTCAATTACTTACCTTACCTTTGCTCTCTCCGCGTTGCTGCTCTCTTTCTGGCGCTCTCAATCCCTCTCTTTCTCTCTCTATTGTTGGTATATTAGAGAAAAAATGTTGAGCTATGTGTGCGAAAAAATTAAGGATGCCTTGACACTAGAACCCACACACACAGATACAGATGCACGCACACGCACACGCACCCTGTTTGCACAGTTGAAATTTGTTGTATCTCACGGGATTTTCTTTGTTTTTTCTGGCACTTCGCGAATCACACAATCACGTATCCAACATTTTCCATTCCTGACAATAGTTGTGCATTGCTGGGTTGAATATTTCCTCGATTTAATTCGTGTCGTGTGTGTATTAATTGATAAAAATTCACGCCAAAGTGTTGGATACGGACAAAGAAGAAAAAACGAGTGTTGTAAAACCACTGACTGGATCACGCTCATTTTTTCGTTTCGTTCATGAGTGAACGAACTACTTAGTTCACATTAACCCATGAAAATACAACACTAGAAAAGGTGAACAAATTGAGTTAATAGCTTGATATGTTTAAAATTAGTGAAAAACGGCACCAAACTGGCACCAAAACTGAATGCAGGCTGACCGTATATGACATTTAATTGCTTATTTAATAAATTTGTGGTATGTTCATAATGTTTGAACGAACTTCGGTCACACTGAATACATGTTTATGTTTCACTTCACGGGCCGCCCGAAAAAAACCGAATTTTAGCTGAAATCGTGATTTAAAGTGACAATCCCTTATTCAAAATGAGTTCGGGGATAGTACGCACTCCCGTCTCGCAGATAATCAATAACAAAGCTGACCAGGATGCCGAGGAGGAGCCAAAGAAGAAGTCCCGCGAGGATTGGCGCAAGGCCAAGGAGTTGGAGGAGGCGAGAAAAGCGGGAACAGCCCCAGCCGCCGTGGATGAGGAGGGTCGCGACATCAATCCGCACATTCCGCAGTACATCTCCAACGCGCCCTGGTACTATGGCACACAGGGGCCCACACTGAAGCATCAGCGGCCACAGCACGAGGATGAGCAGGGGCAACTGGACAAGCGGGCACCCAAGGGCCTCGACACCACTAAGATTGTGACAAAGTTCCGGAAGGGCGCGTGCGAGAACTGCGGCGCCATGTCGCACAAGAGAAAGGATTGCCTTGAGCGGCCTCGCAAGGTGCAGGCAAGGTATGCCGAGTCGATTGTGGTGCACGACGAGCACATCGTGAGCGAAGCCTCCATTAACTACGATGAGAAACGCGATCGCTGGAGCTCCTACGATCCGGCAAATCACCGGGAGATTGTCGAAGAGTACGAGAAAGTGGAGGAGGCCAAGCGGCAGCTAAAAGCGGAAAAACTTAAAAATGGTAAGGAAATTATTAGCGCACTTTCATCCATGAATTCTCACCTTTTCCACTCTACTCAGATCCCGATGCGGAGATCTCGGATGAAGAGGGTAACGAGGACAAATACGTCGATGAAGTAGACATGCCGGGCACAAAGGTGGACTCCAAGCAGCGGATTACCGTGCGAAATTTGCGTATTCGCGAGGATACAGCGAAATATTTGAGAAATTTGGATCCCAATTCCGCCTACTATGACCCCAAGACACGCTCTATGCGTGACAATCCGAATCCAGCTACGCCTGCAGAGGAGTAAGTGCCAGTAGACCAGACGATTCATTTCTAATTCATTCTCCTTTTTTAGAGCCGAGTTTGCTGGGGAGAACTTTGTGCGCTTCTCGGGCGACACAACAGCGCAGGCCACAGCTCAACTGTTTGCCTGGGAAGCTCATGGCAAGGGCGTGGATGTCCATCTGCTGGCTGAGCCCACGAAGCTGGAGCTGCTCCAAAAGGAGTACGAACAGAAGAAGGAACAGTTCAAGTCAAGTGTAGGTCACGACATTTTCCATAATTATTCTGAAATATCTTCATGACTCCTCCCTTGCAGACAAAAACTCACATTGTGGAGAAATATGGCGGCGAGGAGCATCTGAAGGTGCCGCCAAAGTCGCTGCTGCTGGCTCAGACCGAGGAGTACATTGAGTACTCGCGCAGCGGCAAGGTCATCAAGGGCGTGGAGAAGCCCAAGGCGCGCAGTATCTACGAGGAGGATGTGTACATCAACAATCACACGACAGTGTGGGGCAGCTTTTGGAATGCCGGCCGCTGGGGCTACAAGTGTTGCAAGTCCTTCATAAAGAACTCCTACTGCGTGGGCATGCAGGAGCCGGAAGGCTATTCAGACCATCAGCAGCAGGCGAATAGCTCCGCCACAGCAGAACCTGTAGAAACATCCGCTGAAGTCGAAAACAGAATAACAGAGGAAGATCCCCCTGAGAAGATCGCTTCGGAGGCAGAATCTGCGCCCAGTTCGGAATCATCCTCAGAGGAGGAGGAGCCAGATGTGCGCGAGAAGAAAAAGTCCAAGAAGAAGTCAAAAAAGCGAGAAAAGCGAAAGAAGGCCAAGGAGCAGCGAAAGCGGAAGGAGGCGAAAGAAAAGGAAGCTAAGGAGAAGGCGGCGGCAACAGAAAAGAAAGTGCAAGAGGACCTAGACGATCGCAAGAGACCCTACAATAGCATGTACGATGTGAAGGCGCCCACCGAGGACGAGATCGAGGAATGGAAGAGGAAGCGACCACGCGATGAAGATCCCATGGCGCAATTTCTCTGAATAAATGTAAAATAAAATAAAAGTAACCACAAAAAAACTGGAACAAATACCATTAGAATAAAGTTTAATCTTAGACGATCGCATACTGCTCGTAGAGCAGCTCCCTGATCTTGTAATATTCCTCCGACAAGCAGCCCTCCATGGCCACTTTGCCGGCATCGACGCGTCGCAGCGCCAGGGTGCCATTGGTGCACCAGAGAACGCCGCCCGAGAACTCAGAGTTGATGTTGTTACGCAGGAGAATCTGCTTAAAGTCCGAGAGCTTCAGCTCGTTGATGAGCACCGAATTGTGGACGGGAATCTCGTCCTCCTCGAGTGTCTCCAGTGTCAGAGTTTTGCCCTCCTGCATGGCTGCATCTTGCTCCACAGTCACCTCCATGGCAGTGGGTGGAGCATCGATGGCTTTCAGACGCATGCCCAGACGGCCATCGACCCAGGCCACCTCGGCATCCTTGCCCTTCTGGAACTGCAGCTGGGAGACCAGACCCTCGGTCAGACGCACTTGATAGATGTGAATCTCTGTGGTCACATCGATGATCTCGCCCTTTTGCGGCGTGAAGACGCGTGCACCCACATTCTGCTCGCAATGTTTGGCCACCACCTGGGTGCCCTCTTCGGTGCCATGGACAACGATGACGCGACGCGGTCGCAGCTGGGAGAGAATTTTCAGCATGGATTCCCCATCCGAGCGGCCCTCGAAGTCGATCCGTTGGATTTGTGCATTCACTTCGATCATTTTGCGTTGATTAATCAGCTTTGTGGGCTTCTCCAGCAGCTGGACATCGGTGTCCATGTCCCCATTGGCTGGCTGTTCAATGCCCGTGCCCGGCTCCTCCTTCTTCACATTTTCCTTGTTCGGCTCCTCGGGTGGGAACTCGGTGTTGTTCATGTCCGCAATGCGATAGTCTTCCAGATTGATGATCTCTCCGTATTCGTCGTACTTTATCTTCTCCTCGTGGTAGGGAAACATCACATGGTGACGTTTGTTCGACTTAAAGAAGCCGGAATGATGACGCCCCTCGGGACGAACGACAATATCGTGTTTGCCCGTGATGACGCTCATCTCGATGTCATCTTCAGACTCGGAACTGCTCTCCTCCTCGGGTTCTGGCTTGGCAATCAGTGGATTAATCTTCTCGCCTTGTGTGCGCAGGTACTCCTCCAGTTCGGCTCCTTCTAGGTCCACGCGCCTACGCACATCCAACTCGATTTTCCTGCCCGGCGCATAGTTTTCCACCAGATCCATGGCCAAGGTGCCAGGCGATGTGCGTGTGGTCAGAATGATGCTGTTGTTGGCATTGCTGGCCCACTGTATAAAGAGATCTCGCGTGAAACCGCTCTCCAGGTCTGGGGTGCTGGCCAGCACCACCTTCGGGCCGGCTGGCAGCTTGTAGACATCCGCCAGCGTGTGGCACAGCTGGATGTGCTTGAACTGGAACGGATTGTTGCGGGCTCCCTCAAAGGCTTTGGTCAGCTTGTCGCTCATCCACTCGATCTGAGACTTAGCGAACTCCACCACGTTGTAGCTGACGTTGTTCAGCAGGGCCAGCGAGTAGGCCATCAGGCCCGACTCTTTGTTCTTCCACAGCTGATCCAACATGTGCGCCAGTTCCAGCATACGACCCGCCGTGTCTGCGGCTATCAGGACATTTCCATTGTTCCTCACTGTTTGCAGAATGTTCGTCATCAGCTTCTCGTCGCGGGCACGTCGACGCGCCTGCTGATATTGTGCATTGTAAGCGTCGGTTATGAGCAGCGACGGTCGCTGCAGTCGGTCCAGCTCACAGCCACTCAGATGGCGTTCCTTCTTGTGGTTGAAGTCGGTGGCATAGACAATGTCCTCCTCGCCGACCTTGACTATCTTCCAAATGGTGCCGCCAATCATGTGTCCGGCATTCAGGGGCGTTATGGATATGCCATAGCCCTTGCCCTTCAACGACACCGTTTGGTTGTACTTCAGCTGCGTGATCTTCTCGAAGGCGGTGTCCACATCGTCCAGCGAGAACAGATCAAAGTCTCCCATGTTGAAGTGTGACATGTACAGATCATACATGAACATCTGTCCCATCTTGAAGACTGGTATCGTGGCATAAATGGGACAATTGAGTCCCAGTTTCCCCACCAGATAGGGCAGGGCGCCCAAATGATAGGCGTCTGGATGGGATAGCAGTACGGCATCCAGTGTGTGCACTTGCCTGGAATGAATGTTCACAATTGTTTTGTTTATTTATTGTACTCTCTCCCCACACATGCAACAGCACTCACCTTTTGAGTTCCTTTATGAAATTGGGATCAAACTTCTCGTCCCATCCGCAGTCTAACAGAATTCGCACATCGTCAATCTGGAGTATGTAGCATGGTGGCGACTCATCCATCGCCCCGGATATCGTGTGCAGCTTGATAATTGAAGTCATTTTAAGCAATAAACTATATAAACAAATGCTGGAACCAATTTCGGTTGAGAAATTATGCCGGGATCTAGGGCTGCACAACAAATATACCAAATTACTGAGAAATACACCTAAATTCAGTATATACTATCTGGTTAGTGCTTGAAATAATAAAAGCAGATGCACTAACTTATCCTAACGATTACATTACGATTATCCTAAAAAAAAAAAGATAGGCTTATGGGAAAAGAAAGCAGAGAGAAGAGAAATGTTAAGTGATCGTTTTGTCGCAACAAGTTCCACAGCTTCTCTACAGCTAACATTAATTTAACAGCTTGTTTCGTATCTCTTCAATTGCATATGGGATTTGAAGTTTCTCTAATAATATCTTACTGCATTTTCCATCAACTCCAGCTCAATGTGACTTTAGCTTATCAGCTCGAAGAATTGGAGCACTTTATATTATCTTTTTAATCTTATCGCATGTTGAAATTTTTTTTATCTTTAGCACCTCTTAGCTTGATGATTCAGTCTGTAGTGACTGTGCAGCCCTGGTGATGTCTGCATAACAAGCATATATATTAAATTTTGATAAAATAGTTCCAATATTGACGGATATGTGTTACTGTTGTGTGGCAGGAGTTCGTGTCCAGACCCCGCTCCAACATAATGTTTTTACGCCCGTATCACCTACACATGCTGAAGACCATTGGAATCGTTACGCTCATCGTGTACTTGGCGCTGCCCTTCCGGTTTGCGTCCCACTACGACTATATCGATGGCGCTCAAATAGAGGAGGCGCTGCTGCCGCAGGTCACGCTAAATGTCTCCCTGCAGGAGGTGTTCGAGTGCACATACACGGACATCATTTCCAACAACAGATTTGTGTACAGCAGCGCCCACTACCACGAGAACGTCCAGCATGAGGAGGAGATCAGGCCAGGAGGCGAATTCATGCCGGAGCATTGTCAGGCGCGGTACAGCACCGCCATCATTGTGCCCTACCGGCAGAGGGAGAAACAGCTGCACGCCTTCCTCACCTACATGCACAACTATCTGCGCCAGCAACTGATCCATTATCGAATATTTCTGGTCGAGCAGTACGACCAAAAGCCCTTCAACCGCGCCATGCTCTTCAACATTGGCGCCAAGGTGGCGACCGAGTACGGTTTTCCGTGCCTCATCCTGCACGACGTGGACCTCATGCCGCTCAACTCTGCCCAGATGTACGCCTGTGTGGAGAAGCCCCGTCACATGTGCTCGGCGCTGGACCACTGGCGCTTCCACCTGCCCTACCAAGGCCTCTTTGGCGGCGTGGTGTCCATAACTTCCTTGCAGTTTAAGCAGATAAACGGCATGTCCAATCTCTACCATGGCTGGGGCGGCGAGGACGATGATCTCTATGTGCGCATAATGGCCGAGGCAATTGGCATCTGCCGCTTTGCACCGGAGTACAGTGAATACACGATGCTGAAGCACAAGCCGGAGCATCGCAATGAGAATCGTGTGGCACTGCTTCGAGCCGCTAAAATGCGTCAGCACATGGATGGCCTCAGCTCGCTGGTCTACAAGGAGGTGGAACGACGAATGCACAGCCTGTTTACGCACATTCTGGTGGAGACCTAAGTGCGGCGATTCAGTATTGTTAATCAGCTTTTAGGTTTTAACTATTTGTTAGGGAACTAGCACTAGGACTAGGATATCAGTGGTTGATATTCACCCAACTCGGGGGCTTGTTAGTTAGTCGCACTTTTTTAGTGGCTGGCATTTTGAATTGTTTTAGATTTGGGATGCACAAAGCGTAGTTTAGCAAGAGATTAGATACTTCGTGATATCTCCACTCATTAGGCTAAGACGGGAAACAAAGCTGTTATGGAATGTTATGGAAAATAGTACAATGTGGAAATCTTTTCAATAAGACTATTATAATCATGTTTAAGCACCACACGCTCTGCCATCTGCCAAAAATAATAAATAAATAAATAAATGTGCAAATTGTTTGCTTACTTTTGGAGGATTTAATCCACACCAACATTGGAAATGCAAATTTCCTATTAAAATACAATAAATAATTGAAGTGAAATCTCACATGTACTCTAACTTGACGTCCACTTGTACTTGGGATCGAATTTAAATGATTATTTGCTGTAGGTAAAGAATCCCTTTAAAGGCTAGACGCCTAGTCGTTGATTCTGCTTGGTTATAGTTGCGAAATTTACATTAAAAGATAATTCAAACAGCTGTCGAATTGATATATATTGTAAAATATAATTAAGGAGCAATTGCACAATACACCGGAGGGGGATGGGAGGACAAGCACATGGATATTTGGTTGGCTTTTTGTCTAGCTAACAATAATAATAAATACACTAAAATTAATGCTATATGCATTCGTTTCACATTTGATATCGTTTGCGTTTGCGGAATGTGACAACGAACAGGCGACCTGGACCAATAGGACCCGCATTACACCTGCTTTAAAATCTACATAATATAAGTACATATAATTTAAAATGTTTTAAACAGACACACACACACTCACATATGAGACACACACATTCGTACAGGTAAATTAATGTATCGTAAATATATGGAATTGGTTAATTTGGCTACGACTGTGTCTAGTTCAAGAAGTTAAGTATGTCCTGCTGGGAGAGTGCATTGAGGTTCTGGTTATCCGTTGCCTGCATCAACTGTGACTGCGTCTGTGGCACGAGTGTGGCTGGCTGCGTCATGGCCTTGTTCATGGCCAGACTCTGCTGCTGCTGTTGCTGAATGCTGTTCAAGCTGTAGCCCGTTGGATAGATATAATTTACTTGTGGCTGCTGTAGCGTGTACATATTGGCACCGTTCGTATTGCTTGGCTTAGGGACGCCACCGTTGCCACTGCCACTTCCAAAGGGATCCAGTTTGTCCAGCGATGAGAAGTTATTGTTGCTGGCCTGCGGTGATGCGAGCTGATGGTTCATCACTAGCGGATTGGCACTGTGCCAGCCATTGTTGGTACTGGGCGCTGGTGCCAGGCTGCTCAGGTTGCTCTGCATCAGCGAGGAAAGAATGTCTGGCTTTGAGGCGGCTGCTCCTGCTGCTGTAGGTGCTGCGGGTAGTACGGGCGCCACGGCTTGCATGTTCATTGTATTGTGCGATATTCTGGAATATGCAAATGCAAATGGATTTGGATTCTTGAGTTTTCAGTGCTTGGTGCTGTGTCTGCTGATTCCTACTTGAGCTGTTCCCTGTTCTTCATGGGCGCCAGAGTGCTGGCAGCTGCGACTGGTGCGCCCTGTGACTGACCCACTGTAAAGCCGGAGAACATGTCATCGTTGTTCTTGTTGCCATTGCTGGCACTAGAGGGGGAAATTGTGCTGCTCTCCATTTCGTTGGCCAATATCTCGGAAGCATCTTTGGGTCTGTAAATTATATTAAATAAATCTCAATAAAAGCATTCCAAGGGAACAAGCTTCGATCTTACTTATTGTCTCGCTGAATGGTGGAGAGTTGCTGCAACTTTTCGCGCTGCTCTTGCTCCACGCGGCCCAACATCTCCTTGATCAGTGCTATTATTGTATTAAATTGAGCAATGGTCAGACCATTCTCCACGCTAAGAGGCACTAGGAATGGCACGCACTTGTGTGCCATCACATCCTTCGTTATTCCCAGCTTCGTGTTGGTCATGGCTATTTTATAGATACCTTTTGGACAATGACAAAAGCATGTAAGTTGTGGGAACACATTTGAGGCAAAGACTGCGACTCTCACCTATGATGCCCATGATAATGGCTGGCTCGCGGCTTTGTATTTGCTGCAGGAAGGGCAGAATCTCGTCCAGCACCAGCCACTTGTCGAGGTTCTCCAGCAGCTTGCCTATGGATATCAGACAGTTGACCTTCACCGAGACATTGCTGCTCTGCAGGCAAAGCTTCTTGATGCGCGGCAGCACCGAGTTCTTCATGGCGTTGTAGTCGATGAGCGTGGAGAATGTGGGCAGAACGGCCAGACAGAGTTCCTGGATCTGCGGCATGTCGCACTCCAACGAGCGATACAGCAGCGGCAGCACACTTTGCTTCACATCCTCTGCGGGTGTCAGCTTCAGCAGGAGATCCATTTTCTGCATGAATATCAGCAGAATTTGTATGGGATCCGTCAGCTTGAAGATGGGCTTCAGATGGGGTAGAATGTGGTCACAGTACTCCCGCTGACTGCTCATCTCGGCTATCAGCAGCACATTGGGCAGCACAAACGGAATCATTGGCGAGTTGACAAACTCCTTGACCAGATAAGGCAGAATCGAGTGCAGATTCACGCGGTGCGGCAGCGTGGGAATGATTTGCGGTAGACCCTTGTAGAACTTGGACTTTTGCAGATTGTCCCACTGGTAGAGAGAGTCCAGGTAGCTGAGCGTCTTCACACCCACATCCTGGAAGTACACGATCTGCTTGAGTTCGTGCAGTTTGGGCCGCAAACTAGCGCTGGGATGCAGCAGCGCCTTCAGACTCTCCGTCAGCTCATTGGGAACGGCGTTCATGGCTGGATACTTTCGCTGATTCAATTCGTTGCAATATCGCCTGAAGCCACTGTAGTCGCTGCCAAACATTTTCAAAGGCTTGCCCGCGTAGATGGTAAAGATGAGCACGCCTGTAAGGGATTGAAGGAGATTAAAGCAATGCTTTTAGCAAAATTATTTAGTGCACAAACCCAAGGAGAAGAGATCACTGTCAGGGGTATTAACACTGTTCAGGGCCAGCTCTGGTGCCGTGTACTCCAGACTGGGCTGGGCCAGAACATGCATTGATGTGGTGTACTCCCGGCAAGGCCAATGCGGTGTGCCATCCGTTGCCGGCTGATTGGCTATGCAAAAATCGAAGCCAAACAACTTCCAGCTGCGATTCTTGTTGATCACAATCGTCTCGGCACTGATGTTGCGGTGAACGATTTTGGCGTCGTTGTGCAGGAACTGCAGACCGTCGAACAGCTGCAGCAGGCCGTGTCGGATTTCCACATCGTACAGCTTCTTCTCGGAGCGCACGGCATCGCCGACGACGTTTGACAGTGAGGCAAAAACGGGCTCCGTGGCAAAGGCCAACGAGTCGCGACTCTCCTCGAGCGGATGCTGCACCGTCAGCACATGCGGATGTCGGATTTTGGTTAGCTGCTGCACACCCCTTCGCAGTGTATCCAGCATCGTCTCTCTGTCGTCTTTGGACCATCGTTCCAGGAGCTTCTTTTCGAACACAAAAACGGAAACTTCCTGCTTTGTGCTCTTTTTGTAGCCATTGTAGACCTTCCACATGAGACCTGTGCACGTGTAGGATGTGATATAAGCCGCAATCTGTTAACGTTGCTCTCCCCCACTCCCACTCCCACTCTCACTCACCCACTCCGGCGGTGCACACCTGTTCCAGGACCTCGTACTCCCGTGTTACGTTATTGCCGGGCAGCACACCCGACAGCGTGGACACCGTGTGCACTGCTGACGAGTAGAATTTGTTTATCATGTCCATCCTGGCTAGATATGTGTGATTTTGCAGCAGCAACGGGTCCAGAAGTTATTGCAAAAACACCTTTTTTGCAAATTTCTTTGTTTTTTTTGTTTAGTAATCAATAATAATTAGTGATGGCCGATAGTCCGATTACAAAATCGGTTTCTTTATTAACAGTGTGACCGCGGATTTATTATAAACTATACCGTCTGCCAACAACACATATTTTTTGATTTAGTTTTCTATGCTAATCAATGTTTTCAAGAGGAGATAATTAATGGTGTTCCCGCAACTCCTAGAAACCAGTTCGGAATAAAAATCTCGAAGTAAAATGCCAAGTGCTGCTGGTTCGACCGAGTCGGATTTCAATCAATTTAATAATCTTCTTCTTTCAATTTCGATATTCACATATTACATGCATGTTCTTCCTCTTTCTCTATCGATATTCACATATTACATATATGTTCTATAGCAACAATCTTCTGTACGTATGTCTTAATGCTACAATTCAATATCTTAATGCTACAAATTCATTTTACTTATGCAAATTACTAATTGCTAACGGCCATAAGCCTTTAGCGCTAATTTGGCGTAAGCAAATGGAAACTTGTCACAACACAGACTTAATTTAAACGATAAATACAACACAATCGTCCTCAGTGTTGTACAATGCGGAACTTTTTAAATGCGCATTCAAATTGTCCGTTTGCTTTGTTTTGCCTCCCTCCAAACGAAACTTGAATTTTAAATCTCTGTAATTGGCAATTATTTTTCTATAGCCTGCACTTATTGATACCGCCTCTTTGTTGACAAGGTGAGCCTGCTGGTGGTCGCAGATCAAGCCTCCCCAACAAATTTGTTTAATAACATAATTTGTATTCTCTCGATGTGTTACCATTAGGAGGAATGTTTTGCTGCAGCAACCAGCAAATACTTCAGGCATGACAGAGTCCGATTAAGGTTATATGGTCTGCTCCATAACTGTTGTCTGGTTTTTGTTAATTATTAACTACAATCAAGAGCAGAGAAACGCGCTACTAAATGGTTTTATTGAGGCCTCGCAACGCCACGTGTTGCTCGTTCAAAGGTCCTCCACGAAGGTGAAGTAAATATTTGTGGCAGCCTGCGTCTTTTTGTTGAATATCCAGTCGATGAGTAGCAGATAATCGCCCGTCGGTATGGGTGTTGGCAGCTTTTCGGTTCTCAAATGGAAGTCCCTGATTCTCTGCATGCCCTGCAAAAAGAAGCTCTTAGATATTTCACAACGAAATATAATAATTTAATGACTTACTACATAAGGACACGTATGATTGATCGTGGAGAATTCCTTGAAGAGGTCCCAAACTATGCGTATCAATGCACTGTTGCGCCTCCGAATGAACTGGCAGCCATCAAAGTTGACTTTGTACAGCCAGGGCTTATAGCCGTTGGCACGCTTCATGAGCTGCGCTTTGACAATCACATTTGTGACGGGATGATGCAGCATGGCATCCAGATTGAGGCACACCTTGTTCCGACTGATGGCTCTCAAGCGGCAGATACCAAACTCCACCCAGGATTTGTTGTAGGATTCGCAGACGGCGTTGGTCATTTTGAATATCGTGGCGCCCTGAAATGAATATTTTATTAACGATTCTTCACTTTTAAAATTTAATTAAATACACTTAAATAATGCTGCAAGAGCAGCTGGAGCAGACAAATGGCCAGCACTCTCCTCATGCTGGCAGAATAATTTATGTCGAATGTTTAATGCGGTGTCCACGCTTTTGTTTGCCACATGGACACACGTACATGTGTGTAAAACTCGCTTGAATTTATAGATTTGTATGTACATTAGCGGGCAATCAATCAATTTAGTTCTCGTTAGCCGACCACCATTCTGTTACCCTCTAGTTTGAGTTCAAAACAAAACGCTAAATCGCTGAATGAATATTTATTCGTATGGCGTATTTTTAGCTCAACCTCTGACAATGTTAAACAGAACAATTCATTCAATCTATTAACTAGTCAAACTCCTGCCAGTGCACAACAATATTGCGCCACAATACGTTGACTAAGTACATTGTATTTTCATCCGAACTTTGTGGCCGTCATCGCGTAATTATTATTTAAATGCTCCTGCATTTTAGTCACAGTGCGTTAACTTGGCTTTTACGACTGACTGTCTGCTAGTCTGTCTGCACTTTGGCATTGATCGGGCAGATCGGGGAAAGAGTTTTCCGCAACTCTCGACTAATTGTGGTAGGTGTTTCCACCTTTGGCTTCTCAATCGGGCAAAAGTCGAGAGTCAAGTTTAAGGGCGAATATATTTGTAAAATATTCCGAGTGCCACAAATATGATGATGCATGCACCCCGTGGCATATTTTGTGGCCATAATTCACGCGTCAAGCAGTCAATGTCATGCAGTCGTCGCTGGCGGCAAAGTTGAAGTGATTTGGCGGTTCTGTTTTGGGCCATTTCCAGTACAAATCAGTTAGTCAGATTGAACTCTAAACTGTCTGGCTAACTGGATAAACATTTCCATGTTTTCGTTAATGGCTCGTTGCACTGTCAACACCTGTCAACAGCAACAACAACAACAACAACAACAACAACAACAACAGCAACAGCAACAGCGGTGGCATGTCCGTGTCCGCGTCTCGGCCGTGTCGACGTCAACTGAGACTTGGCCTGCCACTGTCAGAGTCACAGTCGCACATTGAGAGAGCCACTTGAGATGCATTTGCTTATCCCCACAGCAAAATTAATAGATTTTATTTTTTTTTGCCACACACACACACACACACGCAACCCAATCAATAAAGCACTCGAATGCATTTAGCTGAATCGCTTTGGTGACTTTGGGGGGACTTTAACGCCATTCCGGTCACCAGCTCTCAGCTCTTAGCTCTCTCCAACGAAATCCCCGCATGGTAGGGGTTATCCCCCTCTATGAAGATGTTGCTCTATGCAATTCGGTGAGTTGTTGTTTGCACGATTTGCTGCCGTGGCCGACCGTCTTTGAACCCGCACTGAATTTCAATGGGCTTCGGCTTCGGCTCCGACTCCGTTCATCCATGTCGGTGTGTTCCAGCCAGCACACCACTCCGCCTCACATTCTACACACTTTCTCGCCAATGTGCTGGTAATTTTTGCGTTCTATCGTGACTGATATTATTATAAGGAGTGGAGGGGAGCTCGCATTCAGCCATAAAATAAATCAAGGAGCCTGACACACAAGAGTCAATAGTAAATCACGGCAGGAACGGCAAATGGCAACGGCAAATTACCCACAACTAGCCGTATAGTATGGTCCTCTCATCGCTCCGAAATCTCCAATAATTATGCAGTGACGAGCGGAATTTCGAGACGTCGCAAGTCGAGTCGCCACGAGTCTCCCTCACAAAATTTGCCTTGGCAATTACCTTTCGGATTTGCAGCTTCTAGACATTGACATTGATATCTTTTGCTTTTGGCACTTTTGTTGACTTGTCAGAATTAGGTGTGAGTTGGTGGCAAAACCCGAATGACTCGACAAGTTGCTGCCAAATTCTGTGGGTGCAACCATTTAGATGGATTTGTTTGATATTTACCAATTGGATTTAGTTCTTAAGCGAAGGTCAACTTTCGCTGAGCACATTTTATGACACCAGTTTTATTGCAAGCCCAAGAACTCGTTTTAGTTGATACAATTCAATTTGCGTCATGGGGAGAATGTCAATCCACTTATAATAAAATAATAATATATAATAATTGCTTTTAATCTAATACAAAATTATTACCATCTTGCAGTGGACTAAAGAATAAACAAAGCCATAAACGGCAAGGCCACTTTCTCATTCAGAAAAACCAAATTAAGAATGGAATGAACTTTGAGAAATAATTTAATATCGACGCATGATGACGAGAGTAAATTCTCTTGTTCTTTGAACCGCCAAAATAAATACTTCATTAATGCCAATCCAATAATAAGTGAATCATGTTGAACAAGTGCGAGTGTGCTTTGCCAAGTGCTGTCTGGGTAGAACTGATCAACTTTGGATCGTCTACAGAAGTGTGCACTTGAGTACCTTTTGATGGCGGGGAGGGCATAATTAATATGCAACGATGGACTCGCAAATATATTTTTTATTTTCTCTTACTTTATATTTGTCATTAATGGGCCTTTTGTTTCAAACAACATTTATACCCTCGATTTGTGTGTTTGTTGCGCTGCTTTGCCTTTTTGTTTTTGTTTTTGGCACTGTCTTTGTTCGCGCTGTGAGAAGATACAGTGCCAAGATATAGATGGACGGGCTACAAAACACGCTGGGAATTACGTGATTGATGGCGGACCTGTGATACAAGTACAACGGCAGCAGCAACAACAACAACGTTAAGAACCAAATGTGTAGAATGTTTATGTATTGATATTATTATAAGCAGACAAGAGACCAGAGGCATACGTAGGTACGAGTACGAGAATTATATACAAAATCAGTGAAATCTTGTCGCGTCTAAAAAGGAAAATCACACAGCAAATGCAAAATTTATGAGCGAACTACGTCGAACGACGTCTCCGGGCGAACGATGCAGGCATACCAAGTGGCCCTGGAATGGCCCCTCCGAACGGAAGTGCGGATTGCACTTGCCGATGGCGATGACTCAATTTAAGGTCCGTGTGGGTTCAGTTCAACTCCTCCTTTTCAAGCAGGCCACAGATCAAATGTGAACAGGTCTGGTCTTGGGTTGAAGTTGAGGTTGACGTTGAGTAGGGATAAGCAGTTCATAAATTTTCCATAGCTAATTCTACCCTGTAAAATGTAGCAGCAGAAGGGCTTATTGGTGGATCTAAAAAGGAATTGCCAGAAGATATATATCAGAATTGTGTCTTTATCACTGATTTTAAAATTAGTTAATAAATTGCAATAAGATCTAAGAATTGCCATATAAAAATTGAATACAATAGGAAAGGGCTTTCCAGGTAAGTAGCTTCTCTTTCCTTTTCCTTTTCCTTTTCCTTTTCCTTTTATTTGAAAACTGTTTGCTTGAACAACTTGAAATTAGATAAATTTCGATTTAACTCTGTTATTCCATATAAAATATTCTCGGCCTTAGCTAAGGCCTCCACTCTCTCTCTTTTTCTTTCTCTGCGCCACTCTATTTGCTCGGCTTGGCTTATATTAAAAACGCTGCGCTTGCGCTGCTGCGACTGCGGAGCCATCGTAACGCTGAGCCGCTGAGCTGCCGCTGAGCCGCCGCCGCCGCCGCCGTCATCATCGGGCGTCATCAGGTGTTGTGGTTTTTGCAAGCCGCGCTCGAGCTGAGTCTGTTTTCGTCTGCCTAAGTGCGCGGTTCTGGAACGCGTATCGCTGATCGTCGCTCGTCGCTCGTCGCTCGTACTGTTAGTCGTTGTCGACTCCTCTCGTTGTCTGGAAAATTCCTAGTTGGTGTTTTTTTCCAAGCCCGGGACTCCACTTGGATCGGTTCGGATCAGTGCGCGCGCGCGTTCAACCCCCTTTAGTACCGACTGCAAGCTGCCAACCTGTTTGAAAATTTTTTGGCATTACCTGCCGCAATTTTTTGGAATTGCTGTTTTTCGATACTACTTAGAGATTGTGCAACATTGCGTGCGGCAAGAGCATACAAACCGTTTGACAAAGTTTCGAAAGTGTAGAAAAAACCCAAAAGTATCCCAAAAACAAAAACGAAACACGATAGGAAGATTCCGAGTGGCAGATTAACGAAGCCAACATACAATACATTACATTACATTACATTACATTACAAATAATTTGTTTAGCCTTTGTCGAAATCCATTCCGTCGGTGGGCGTGGGATCTCGACGGCAGCGAGCCAGCAAATCGGTGAGTCTTGAATTACAACCTGGGATTGCATTATAATACCCAAACTGCTCTCGTACTCGTATGACAAATGCTATTACTATTACGTACGACAACGGCTTTCTAAAAAAATACCCAAAAAACGAGTTGGATTCGCTTTGGCAAGGAGAGACCAACACACACACAAACACAACAAAAAAATGTGTGAAATTTCAATGAATTTCCCAAATTTTATACACAAACACCGAAATTGGGAAATAATTCATTGTTTTCGCCTCTGCAATGAGAGTCGAGACTACAAAGAATCGATTATCACACACGGGCTCGAGTATTACATTATTTTTGGTTTATGCCAAACGAGTTTCAATGAGCCCAACCCACAGAAAAGCGATTGAGTTCGATTAAACCACCTATTTCTGGGTCATAAATATATATATATCTAAATGATCGCGTTACGGTGTGGGTTTTAAAAGAAATAATATCCATCTACAAATTGGTGGACTTGCCAAAAGCTTTAATTGAAATTTGTCACGCTTCAGATTGTATCAAAGAAGCTAAAATCAATTGCGTTTTTTATTTTTTGCACACTTGTAAAGCCGAGAATTTTCACCACTCTTTTGTGTAATTTGGATTTATTTTTGTAAAGCTTAACATTTAAATAAACGATTGATTGACAGAGCTTTAAGAATGCAATAAATTAATTGTCAAAAAGGCTTTCAACAAATGCAAAATGATACGAATTTACATGCAGTGTAACAGATCAAATTACGGATTATTTGCAGTTGAAGTATATCCCACAATTGAGACTGGAAAGTTTCAAGTTAAATGCTGGTACTAGTCGTATAAGTATGGAACAATCGCCAATCAAGCTCTCGCACCTTCCAGCAATTAGTTTATAAATTCTAAACTTGGCACGGAAAAAAACTCAATTGTCATTCAGTGGCATTCAGACAGTACTATGTACGAGTATTCCCTCGCTGACAACTCTTTAATTATTGCATATGAAATCCCAGCTAAATTTCATGTCATAGCAATTCAATTAATTTGCAATTTATCAAAATACTCGTAGCCCCCAACACCATTGCCCAGTGCCCAGTGCCCAGTGCCCAGTGCCCAGTGCAGGCCAGTACCCGTGCAGCTTGTGATTTGGTATTGTCAGTGTAGTGGAGGTTATTCGGTTATTCGGGTAGTCCAACATATTTCATTTGCCCACCACAAACAACCGAACTCGGATTCGGATCTGTCAGGGTGGCAGGTGGCAGGTGGCAGGAGGGGGAGGCAGTGGGTGCTGCGGCTGGCGCGAGGCGTCAAGCGAAAAATAATCGATGATGTGCCTGGGCACAATGCAAACATTGAATCAAAGTCAAATAGCATTAAACTTTTTGAACTGTGGGGAGCAGCGGAAAGCAAGCAACACACACAAAAAAAATTGAAATAATAATAAAAGTTTGCTCACTCCTTGGTAGAGGCGTGAAAAACACACACACTCACATAAAAAATAGGGGATTCCCCTTCACAGAAGTATTCGTTGGGGATTGGGACATTGCAGTTTTTTGTTCTCCATTTTGTAGGGGGTTTGTTCTTCCTTTTTTCTGTTATATAGGAATGAGCGCAACGTAGCGCAAATATTTGACAAATCCCGCGAAAAGTCTGCTTATGTTGTCACCTCGGTGGCATCCTCTCTGCGCTGTGTGCTGTGTGCTGTGTGCTCTGTGCTCTGCACTGCCACTGCCACTGGCCCAGTGCCAGTCATACTGATTAGGATTTTCCGGAAGCTTTTTTGGCTGCCGGCGACAGTTGCGATCGCTGCGTCCGCGGATAGCTTTAAGTGCTCGACAATGTCCTACACTTTTGCCATTTGCATGCGAAAATCAAAAACTAAATTTGCATTCACATATCGAGGTGTAGCTTATATTTCGCACCTTAGCTCACCCCCCTCTTGGAGCAGTTTTCATTTCGTTTGTTGTTTATGCAATGTTCAAGCTAAGGTACCTACCGGGCTGCCTGAATGCCAAAGGAAAACCAATGCCCAGACGCTCTGCTAACGAGTGCAGGCGCGTGTCTGTATCTTGTGGATGTGGATGTGGATGTGGATGCGCCTCACCTGAGCACCGATCCGTACGAAACGTAAATGCGCCAATTTGTATGCAGGCAGCATTAATCGGGTAATCCGGCAGCAATGCATTGCACACGCGGAGAGACGGTAGAGACGGTAGACGGGAGGCAGTGCCAGACCCACAGCCAGACCCACAGCCAAAGCCAGAGCCAGAGCCAGAGAAGGAACCAACCCCAGAGCCAGAGACAGAGCAGAGTCGGGCCAAAAGTTACGTGAGATGTGGAATTGTATGAAATTGATTTGCAATCGATAAATGCGCGAATATTGCCAAGAAGCTAAGACTTGGCCAGTGGCAAAGCAAAGCGCAGCTCTTGGCCACAATTCGTTTTGCCATTTGCCGCCTCGTGCATGCTGCAAGACTTGGTATGCGATGCCTCGAGACATGCTTTATGCATAAATATCTTTGTCTCTTGACCCTGAAACTGCCTGAGAACATCTTAATTGAAGAGCTGTATGAAGTATCTATTCAATTATGCCCATAAGGTCTTCCCCATGAAGGAATTTGTAAATGTTTTCCCATTAGTTTGATTAACTCTTATAAGCAACATTAAATTATATTATAAGTAAGCAAAACAAATGTAGAACATTTTCTACATGCACATTGAATTTCATATTTTTCATTTAATTTCTGTAATTATATTTCGGCAGCGCAATTCTGATGTGACGCTCATTAAATATGCAACTGCTGCTGCCCAGATATAATTCCTAAATTCCAGCTACATACATTTTTGAGAGCCTCGTTCAGACAGGTCAGTTGATCTAAATTGAAGGTGATTTAATTATGGGCTAATAGATACAGACAGTTGCAGTTCTACAAAAAAATAGTAAAAGAGAAATACTGACGGGCACACATTGCACACGTAAAGTGTTTTCCACTTTTGTTTCTACCAAAAGTAAATCGTTGCACTTACTACACACATTTTTTTCTCTCTCTTTGAAATGCAATTGTGTGTACAAAGTGTGTGTGCAAGTGTGTGTGCTGCTAGTGTGTTTGTGTTCGTGCTCGCTTTGTGTTGCAAAAATTGAAAAATCAAACACAAGGAAAACCACTCGAGATTTAGCAGCAACAGTCAGAGGCAGCGGCAGTGGCAGAGCCAGCAGTAGCCACTGACAAGGTCAGCACTTTGGCTTTTATTTGGGGCCTGGCGGTTGTCGCATTCTAAGCAAATCGTCGCTGGATCGTTCAGAGTGCTGCTGCTGCTGCTGCTGTGGCATCGTTGAGCGAACCGAACCTGAAACGTTGGCTGAATTGTCGAATCGTGGCCCGGCCGTAATATTAATCTTAGTTGACTGGCTGGCTGGCTGGCTGGCTGGCTTGGCTTCTTGTTAGATGTGGCGTTGCTTTTGCGGTTTGCAACTTTGGCAGTAACAAGTGTTTAATTGCAATAAATGCACCTGAATGCCTTGACTGTGTGAGCGCGCGCCTCGTCTCGGAGCTTGAGCTTGGGCCAGCCTCTGGGTATGGGTTTGGGTTTGGGTTTGGGTTTTGGGCAAGGCATTCTGGTTCTGAATGAAGAGCCAGCGACAGAGGCAGAGACAGAGACAGAGACAGAGCCAGAACCAGCTGGTCACTTCTTGGTCATTGCCAAGCGAAAGGTTAAAACCATTTCGATTGGCCCAGACGTGGGGGTAAACGGCGCACGTAATATTGCCAACGTTTTCGCTTTTCTTTGGGGGCTATTTTCTGTTCGCTTTTGGCCTAATGTTTGTCAACGTTTCGGCCCAATTACGGCTGGGCCCATAACTCGCACATTTAGTGATTAAATCGGCCGAGCACATCCTGCAATGGATTTTTAATTATGCATCAACCATCATTGACGGCCAAAGGTTTGCCAAGCCAAAAAGGTTTGCACTGCCATCCCACACCGACAACTGGGTCATTACCATGGCATGGCCTGGCTTTGATCTCCGGCCAAGTGCTGCTGCTGGTGGCTGGTCCGATAAGCCAACGCTGCTGCCGCCTTCATAGCCGTAAGAGACTTACTTTAATAGGTTATAAAGCAAGTGAATTGTCTTGAATGTAATGTGCCATAAAGACATAAATTAGAGTTTGGCCAAGAGCAGACGATGCTGGCCTAGAGACCGGGCAGATGCTGCCGCTTGTTTAGCAGGTTACATTATGGAGTGGCACTCAACCTTCAATCAGGCAGAAGGTCTGCAAAGAGCTTGGAATTAAATTTAACTTGTGCTCCTTGAAGCAGTTAGAAGAAACTTCAGGGATCAGCCAGAACTTGCAGGTATTCAATGATATTTCTATAAATATTCGGGAATTTCATAAGATCTCGAAAAAAACCGATTCATTGGGAGTTAACTTTCGGCAAGTCATCATCGATGAGGCACAAGCCAAGCGGCCGCCTCCCATGCACATGGAACAATGATTTGCATGATTTGGCAGGCAATAAACTGTAAGATGTGGCATTCAATTTCAATCGGAAGTCACGCATGCCACAGCCAGCAGAGCAGTGGCTCAAGTTGCTTGCAACTTCCTAAAGCGATCATGTGGAACCGCCTGCTCCGCAGTCTCGTCTCGTCTCGTCTCGTCTGCCACTCTCCATTCCAGTCCATACGATGCGATTCGATTCGATTCGTTACGATTCGATTCGGCAGAGTCAGAGTGCGTGAAAATGAGTAATAAAGGAAACATTGCCACAAATTGATGCACTACCCAGTGCTACCTTTAATTAAATTATTAATTATGTACCTTAATGAATGCATAATTGAATAATAAACTACGTGCGCACGCCTCCGCATCTCGCACCGCGACTGAAACTGCAAACTGTGGATGTGCCACAATTGTTGTACTGCTGTGGAATTATTTCGTTTTTCGTTTTTTGTGTGTTTTCTGCCACTGTTAACCTTTTAACTTTTGTTCAGGAGCGAACGGACCGATGATATCCCGAAGC